GTTTTGAAGGATTGTGGTCCAGGCAATCCAAAACATACCGACACCTTCCCCCCCTCCCCAAGTATAATTAAAGGATTCTTTTTCAAGTTTCTAGTCCCTGTGAAACCTTTACAGGTAATACTGTTGGTAGATAACTTGTTTATGTTGTGCAGGCTTTCGTGCTAGTTCTGGCATAAAGATGGCTTGCAGGAAAGGGAATTGCCAATATCTCCATCTTTGAATTCTGAAAATTTTACTCACGTAGGATTTGTTATTTTTTTTTCTTCCTTCTGGCAGGTTTGTTCATTTTTGTTCCTTAATGGTCCTTCAGATCAGGCGGCACAACATGAAATAATAACGTTGCTACTCCTTAACTTTTAATGGCTAGATTCATTCATGCTGTTTTCCTGGAAAAGGCTTGTGCGGTTTTACGCCTGTGGTTGCTTTCAAATAGAATTTTAACCCTCAAGGGCCAAAGATTGGGTGAATATTTCCCATCCTTTTGGTATCTCCTAAAGTATTGTTCACAGATGTGCTGGCGGAGAAAAAACAACAACCCCAATAACCATTAGAGGAATGGCTCTAGCTGGAGAGGACCAGAACTATGAAAAAACTTTTATTTTCCTTTCAGGAATGATTAATTTTTGTTTACAAATCCTTGGGGCATATTTGCGATCCCAGGCCCTGGTTTATAAGCTGTTTTTTTTTTCTTTCCGAGAAGTCATTTCTTTCCATTTCTCTTTGCAGCTGGTTTTTTTTTTTTTTGACCAATTGAATCTTCCGAGAATCAATTTTTTTTATCTCCATCATTTGGAGCAGGATTTGATTGCTGGGTGGACTAGTCTTCCAGGCACGGTTTATTTCCTTTGAGATGCTCCTTTGAGATTCTGCCGGGTCTATTTCGGGTGGACTATCCTTCTTCTCATCCCGCCCCAGCTACTTTTAAAACTATTTTCAGCTCTCCCTCTCTCTCTTTCTCTGTGGTTAATGTATATTTTTAACCAGGTATTTTTAGATTCCATGGTAGAGGAGCGGGGAGGGTCAGGAGGAAGAAGACGACCAACAGGGGAGAATTGAAGCGTAGAAATGGGTTTACTGAAAACGGAGGAAGTTGCCAAAAGCTCCTTTGGGGCACAGGAGGATCTGCGACTTTTGGCACCTCGGCGAAGAGTCCTAAATTAGATTGGGTGAGGAGCATCTTTGTGGTCTGAAGGGTAGGAGAAAGTCAAAGTCTAACCTTCTGCGGTTATCTCTCGGGATTCACACGTTCATTTTTGAGAATGGCAATGTTCCATTTTCCAGCACTTTTTCTGCCAGAGGGATTGACACTTGGAGAAAGGAAAAATAGAGGAGGAAGGAAAGAGAGAGCAATCAGGGGCCGAGGCTTTAAGCTGCTCAACAGATTCAAGGGTCATGACTATTATGTGCTAACCTTTAGTAGGGTAGGAAAAGCGAAAATGTGGGATCCTTGGAACTCTCTGGGCATGGTGGTTTTCTTGCAGACGTTTCATGACCCAACTAGGGAACATTGTCAGTTCTTGTAGGCAGTGGGGTTTGCAGAGAGGAGGAGGAGGAGGAGGAGGAGGAGAATGACTGTAGTTCTTGGTGCTGTCTGAGCTTGGTGGTTTTCTTTACATCATCATGCTGAAGCTATTTTGATAATGAAACATCTGCAAAAAACCAATCAAGCTTAAAGAGCATCAAGGATCCTACAGTTGTCACCCCTCCTCCTCCTCCTCCTCATCTCCAAAAGCTCCACTCTCTTCCAGCACTGATGATATTACCTAGTTGGGTAATGAAACATCTGCAAAAAACCCTCACCAAGCTCAGAGAGCACCATGGACCCTCCAGTTGAGCCCTGAGCTACGAAGATTCTCTTCTGTCAGAAAGTCTAAATTTTAATGTTTTCCCCGCCCCATTAACGTTGCTGAGGGAAATACGATTCTGGTATTTGTGACACTGCAGTAACAACCGAGAAGGATGTTTTTCTTTCTCTTTTATTTTATGCTGTGCTGCTGGAGGGAAATATTTGACTAGGCTGTGACCTGTAGCGAGATTTAATAGCTCCTTGCTAGCTACCTGCAATTTTTTCTGGCTCTTTTCCATGCTCCTTCCTGATTAAAAATTAGCCTTCCAGGGAATTCAAAACATGAGGTCAGAACTTCGTTTGTGTTGAAAAATAAAATAAAAATCAAGAGCTGTGTTTTAATATGCAAAAAAATATCAAGAGCTCTGTTTTAATATGCAAAAATAAAAATCAAGAGCTCTGTTTTAATATGCAAAAGACGGCAAAAATGAAATTGAAATGGAGATGCTACAAGAAAATGTCGCAATTCAAGGAAAACCTACATTTCAGTTTCATTGTTGCCGTCTTTTGCATATTAAAACAGAGCTCTCCGCCTAGTGAAAAAGTCACCTGATTTCCATATACTGGTGGTCCTTGACTTACAACCCCTTTTAGTGACCGAAGTTATGACAGCATTGAAAAAAGTGACTTAGTTGTGGCTGTGTCTCGAGGACTACTTGTAAACTTGATTAATAATATAATAAAACAAATCTAGCTTGCTAAAGACTGGGGACATTACAGGGACTGTCAAAATACTTTGTGAAGCACATCTGGATGGTGGGTTGCATTGGGCCTGACTCCTGTTAGTGAAGCTGTTGTTGGTTTCCACCGTGAGGGTTTTAATATTTATTTGTGCCAATTCTCAGAGCATCTGATCGCTGGTGCGTAATGCACAGGCCGCATTCCCAGTCTGAAAGTAATTCAACTGTATCACAGTGCTAGTTATCCTATTGACAGCTCCCCCATTAATGGGTGTCACTTAGGCTAAAATGTCTTGCTGAAAACACTGTTTCTCACTCATGCCATCTTAATTCCTCGGGGTGGCACACATTTTTGAAAGAAATCCATAATTGCCCATGCATTATGAATGCCGAGGCTGGCAGCTCTTGGCGTTACCCAACGCTTTGGAGCGAGTGGGTACATTTCATATTTTGGAGAGCATGTTGTTCTTGCAAAACAAACGAAGTCCTGGGCAAGAAGGGTGATTTCTAGATGCCTAGATTCCGGGAAGCAAAAATTCGTAGACTCCTCTGGTTTTTCTCAGAAGGCTGAGGTACAAAGCCCTTGACAATTCAAAGTGGGTTTTTGTCAGTGTGGCACGTTAACCCATTCTTTAATTATTCTGAAAAAGATCTTTCAACATCAAAACAGGTAGGGCCTATAGCCCGCTGGGTAGCTGAGAATGTGCTGAGGAATACTGATGTAGAGTCTCGTTGTAAAGTCACGGTTAATCTGTCAGTCAGCTGGAAAGAGAATCAGGAAATGCAATTGTAGGAGGCATTGAATACAGTATAACGAACAGCAGGAATATATAAGCAAGCACGCGTTAATAAAGAATATGAAGACCCAGATATGTCTTGAAACATTTCACCTCACCATGCTAGGGATGTCAAAATCCTCCTGGACTTGCAGAAGTCAAATCAAGTTCTGCTGGAGTGGCTTGGCTTGAATAAAAGGGCAGGATTTGCTGGGGTGAAACGAAGGCTTTTGCAGACCTTCGCAAAGCTGAGCAATTGACTGCAAAAGGCTTATTCTGAATTTGCAGGGTGGTTACCTGGATAATCAGAAGATGGGCGAGGGAACTGTGAGGGGTCAAATGTCCCTCAATACTTCTCCAACTTAAATGGGCATCTCTCGGTTTCTGCTGAAGTTTTTCTGCCTTGATTTGTTCCTAAATATTACAGTCCTGCTTGGCTGAACTATCGTGGCTTATTTTCAAGAAAAAAAAAAGAGTTAAGGAAACTGAGGTTTAGGGTGGCGTGGGAATTCAGCCACCATCACCCTGTCCCAAAAGCATGCGCCATATGGCCAGGACACCGTGGAGATGAACGATGCGCTTTCTTTGGCACAGAAGGCTGCGCTGTGAAGCCGTGTCAGGTGCTGCTTTGTCACGACTCCCTTCAGCAGCACATCTGTCATGCTAATTAGCAGCACGTTGCTCGGAAAAATAGCCCAATCTTCCTACAGCGCACCCCCGGTCCAGATGTTAGGAATGGAGGAGAGGCTGGCAAAAGTCTCTGCAGAGTTGCTGCGGTTGGTTCCCTCGGGAGAGAAATGCCCCCTACTTGCAAAATTCGATTATTATAATCTTACAGTTAGTATTTACAGTTTTGTTTTCTCGTCTGGATTATTTGGAAGAGTCGATAGTAGCTAACTTTTTTTTTTCCTTGCCCCAAATATCTCAAGGATGTGGAAGTGACCAAAAGGCAATTTGGGGGTATGTGTCTGAAGTGCATAGCTTTTCCTCCAAGACTGGGATGTTGGAATGGGGGGAGAGAGGTGGAACCAGGTTTTGGATGGCAATTTGGTGCATTTCGGGCTCAGAACCCGCTTTGCTTCGTGCTTGGCCAGGTGTGAAAAAGGATCGGGCATCAGGAATTTTTGCTTTCCTTCCCCAACCAAATAATCTCCTCCAAAGAAAGGACTCCAATTAAGGATTCCTACACAATAAAGAAAACCTCGTTTCTCTTTATGAGCCCTTTCCGCACTTCAGAGTGGCATCGAAAGACTGTTTTGGAGAAGGTATGAAATTTAATGATGCCCCCTTATTGATTGAGGGGTCCTTGGTGCTCTCTGAACTGGATTGTTTTCTTGCAGACGTTTCATGACCCAACTAAGGAGCATCATCAGTGCTATAGGGAGTTCAGAGAGCATTAAGCTCAGAGAGCATTGAGGACCCTTCATTTTAAGATGCATTAATTCACAGATTAAATCTGTGTTTTTTGTGGGCTTGGGTCCAGGTTAGGAAATAAGAAATTCTATGGAAGAAAAAGAAAGATGGTTTTTTGCTCTTTGATTGAGGCAGGACCCCATTAAAGATTTTCCACCAATCTCTCTCTCTCTTTCTCCGCTTTGATTGCAGGAAATGTCCATCTTCGTTGTCCTTTAAGCGGCCTCCAGTAAAGGTCTCTGGGCTTGCCTTCCTAACCGGATCAGAAGGCTGCCGGATTTCAAAATGCTCATAAAAGAGTATCGGATTCCTCTCCCCATGAGCGTTGACGAGTATCGGATTGCCCAGCTGTACATGATCCAGGTTGGTGCTTTCATCGTGGGCTCTTGTGATCAGTTGCTTTCCTAGAAACACAATAATAACAATAAATGTCAGGCGGAAAGAATCAGGACCACACGTTAACTCCAGTTAATCTGATTTATTACTCTTGCAATAAAAAATTACACATGTCTCTCTCTCTGTCTCTTTCTCTGTCTCTCTATCTCTATCTCTCCATCTTTCCATCATCTATATTTATTTCTATTTCTATCTCCATCTTTATCTCCATCTTTATTTCTGTCTCTATCATCTCTATATCTCTCTACTGTATCTATTCATCTATCCATCATCTTTATTTCTCTCTCTCTCTCTCTCTCTCTCTCATGCAATAAAGAATTGCACAAGAATTTAGTCAACTAATGATCAGCGCTAAATTGGTGCTAGATAAGAGTCAACAGAACTCAAGAGGCGTTGGACTCAGACTGCTTTTGGGACTGTAATGCCTCCAGGCTGATGCCTTGCTTGACTCCGCCCCTGTCCTTCTACAAAAATAATAGCAGAATCAGGGAAAAATAGAGATGGAAGGGACCCTTAAGACCATCTAATCCACCCCCTACATTATTCATGAAAAGTAAGGGGACCATCCTTGAGGGATGGCCAGCCCACTTCTTTTCAAAAGACATCAGAGATGGGGTTTGAACCATAGGATTTGAACTCGCTACACTTGGAGCATGGTGGCTTTTGAGTTCTGCAGAACCTCTCTGGACGTTGGCAGGAATTATCTACTAAACGTGTCAATGGAAAAATGGCCTTAAGACCATCTCAGTCAACCTTCTCTTCCCCATCTTAGCTGCGGCTTCTTAGCTGCTTGTTGGCTTCCCCTCTGTTCTTCACCCAAAGCCGGTTTGCTTTTGAAAAACGGCCTGTGATTATGTCCTCCTCAAATTTAAATTAGATGTTTAAATTAAAAACAGAAAGCAGGAGGAGGAGGAGGTGAAGCCCGCAAACGATGAAAAATTGAACAGCAGGCTCGCCAACCTGTATTATAAAGCAGAAGAAAAACTCGCTGTATTTTAACTATGCATTTAATTCAAGAACTGTCTTTTCAATGCTAGTCTTGTGTGAGAGAGGTTGGCCTGGCCCAATCGTGTTTTGTTCGGCGTTTAAAATTCTATTTTTAAAACTATTCCACTTCTCTCGGCTTTGCCCGTGTATTTCATTCACCCTCTCTGTTGCCGTGGGTGATTTCAGCCTTTGATCAAGGAAATGAAGTTTTGCTCGCTGCAGATAGGATGGATTGCCATCCAGGGGCATTTTTCTCACTCGCATCTCTGCCCGTGACCCGGCAAGCTCTCCCTGTTGCGTGGAACCCTAAAGGCCACCTGGAACGAGTTTAGGGCAGGATTTTATTCATTTTATTTCATTTATTAAATATATATGCTGCCCACCTCTCTATCCAATGACAGCTTTTCTTGGACTAAGGTGGAATGAATTATCTGGCTATCACTTGCTTCCTTGCATGCTCTTTTTCTCCTCCAGAATGCCTCTGTGGGGCCTGCCTCTCCCTTCCCCACATCAGTCCCCTCTGTGAGATTTTTTCTCTCTTCATCTTGGCAACCTGCCGTATAGATAATTGGCCAGTCAGGAGAGTGGGGCTAACAGTTTCCATCAATTAGTATTAATTTCACATTACAGCCGTGGATTTAATGTACTCTGGGATAAATGCAGATCAACAGATCCGGCCTCGCATTGGTTTTTCCTGATTAGATTTTAGGGACCACCGTTCAGCACCACCCTTTCCCATCAGATGTCCTTCTCATGCGGGAGGAGAATGTGTCGTGAGAGCTTTGCAGGTTGTTCTTTGCAGGTCACCAAGGAAATTGTGCGTTATCACATGCTACACATTAGCATTTCAATTCCCAGAATTCCCCAGTTCCTTTCTCAAAGTTGGCCCTTTAAGACAGGTGGACTTCAATTCCCAGAGTTTCTTAGCCCAGCCGTGCTGGGAGTTGAAGTCCTTGAATGCTGCTGGGCCAGGGAAATCTGGGAGTTGAAGTCCACACATCTTCAAGTTGTTAGCTTTGAGACACACCGTTGTACATTGTTCCTAAGTTCTCCATCCAATTGCCCATTTGAGCAAAAGATGAAAAGCAGCAGAAGATGCTTGTTTTCTTTCTAGAGGGAAAGCAAATCGGATCGCCCCCTTTTCCGACCGACACATTTTATTAAAAGCCAGACGCTTTTATGTGCTACACTCAACTATAAAGGGAACTCCAGATGTCAGAGAGGCAGGAACTCTGTGGAGGAAATGCCAAGCAGCCGGGAGGATCATGTCTTCATCCCAATTGGCTCTGCCTCGTCTTTCACACCCTTTAGAAAAGTCCACGCTGAACTGTATCTGCCAGCAACATCGTCCGAAGGTGTTGCACGATGTGCTGACGGGTTGCGCTTGCAAACGGCTTGTCAGCTTCTGTAGTTCAGATTCCTTGGAGAGAAATCACGAGGGGCCTTTGTAGCTGGAGAAAGAAATGTCCCCCGGGGGGGTCTCCTAAAGGTCCCCTGAAACGTTGAGACTCTGGAAAGAGTGCAGGAGAAGAGCAACAAAGATGATTAGGGCGCTGGAGGCTAAAACATATAAGGAACGGTTGCAGGATTTGGGTATGTCTAGTCCAGTGAAAAGGAGGACCAGGGGCGACATGATAGCAGGATTCCAATATCTGAGGGGCTGCCACAAAGAAAAGAGAGTCAACCTCTTTTCCAAAGCACCTGCATTTGCAGGACAAGAAGCAAAGGATGGGAACTAATCAAGGAGAGAGGCAACCTAGAATTAAGGAGAAATTTCCTGACAGTTAAAACAATTAATCAGCGAAGCCTCCAGAAGTTGTGGGTGCTCCATCATTGGAGGCTCCATCATATTATAGGATCTCCTGCATAAGCATGGGGTTGGGCTAGAAGACCTCCAAGGTCCCTTTCAACTCCGTTATTCTGTACGTTCTTCAAAGCGGCAAGTCAATCTGAGCCAAGATTTGTCATCTTCCCCAGATGAGGCTAAGCTCCGGTTAATTCTTGGGAGGCCCAACACATCAGACCTGTCTCCAGTGGAAGGGAAGAAGGAGGAAACAGGTCCAAGATCTGGGCTCTTGACCCATTTAAGAATATTTGAAAAGTTTATTTATCCCCAGAGAAGAAAAAGCAAAAAATCTCTTGAAATGGTCTCAGCTCCCCGGGGCTTTGCCTGTCTCTCACCTTTGAAAAAAAAAAAAAAGGGAAAGATTGCTTCTTTTGGGAGCGACAATCCTTTGAAAAGCTCATTCCCCTTGCTAGGCTGAACGGGGGTGTTTTCTTCAATCCGATCCAAAGCCATTGATCTTTTTGGTGAGCTCAGCCATCTGGAGAAGACGCATTTTTCTTCTCCCGTTTTGCGAAGCAGCGGGAGCTATATAATTGAAGCAATTCATCTTTTTTTGCAAAGATTCGGCTGTGTGACAGAGATCCTGGAGAATCTTCCTCCCTATTTGTTTTTGTTTTTTAAAAGTTCTTTCTTTTTATGATTACAAAAACAGATTTGATCGTGAGCGTCCTCCAGACAAGCCTAGGCATGATAGAAAGCCCTGTTTCTGAGCGCTGTAGAGCTCTTAATTTCAAGCGGGACCTAAGGGCGAACTACACATTACAGACGTGTGTCAAGAGAACCCCGATGCCTTTAAAAATTACAATGTTAGAAGAGGACAATGATGATGATGGTGATGGTGAGGATGATGATTTAATGCAGACTGCCTTGCGTTGCCCAGAATCACCTCAAACCACAGGAGGAGCACCATATAAATGTAATAAACAAATGCCACTTAAACAAAGTGCTAAATCCTTTTGAGGTGCTTCCTGTCTTCCTCCATCGTGACCACCAACTTGAAGCCATCAGAACACTTTCCAGCTTCCCGGAAATCCGATCTGAGCTTCTCCGAAACTAGGACATCAATTAATGCCTCTTGAAAGCCTGCTGTTTATCTGTGTTTTTGGAGAAATACAGCCAAGCCTGTCCAGATGGCTGCCCATAATAAGAGCTGGGGGGGGGGAAATATATCTTGTCCTTGTAAGGTTGTCCAGATGACTCGTATGGATCTCAAGGCCATCTGCTCTGAGCTTCCCCCAAGGTGGAGCTCTTAACGAGTCTGCTTGTCTTTCTCTCCCTCTGCAAGCAACTCTGTCCCACCACCTCCTCAAACCTGTTGGTGGGTCGTCCACTGCAGCTGATTTCCATTGGCCACGGTTGACCCAGACCATCTGCCGCTCTTCTGAGAAGGACAATCATACCTGCCAAAGGTTAGAAGCATCACATAACAACTGCGCTTCTCAGAAGCTTTCCATGACACTCGGGAGAGAGGGACCAAAACAGTTTCTTCGGCCAACCTGACCATCACTGGTGGCCAATTGTGGAGCACAAAATAGTTTCCAGGTTGAAATTTAGATGCTTTGGCTGCTGAGTTATGTCTGTGTTATCCTGTTCCCTCTTACCTCTTTTAGATTCTGTTTGACTTAAAAAATGATTAATTGTTCATATTCTACCCTTCCTATGCTGGTCTAGGACTGTGATAAAGGCTTGATTGAAGGTCCACCAATTTTGTTACTGACAATTGTCTAGAAAGCCTCTCTGTGCAAAGTTTGCTATCTTCACCCCCTGGTGATGGACTTTCCTGGGAGTATTGCCTCCTGGTTATGTTTTTGCCATTAATATAACACACCCTTAGTACAGCCTTCCTCTTCTCCGATGTCCACTGGATACATCAGGCTTCGATTCCTATCTTCGCCAGAGCAGCCTCTTAAGCTGGAGACGTGGGACATGTTTCCATTTAAATTATGCTAATTATTTCTAAATGTCCACCGAAACCTTTAAATGTAGCTACGGTTCTTTCTGTTTTGTGAGCACGAGTCATCGCTTTATCCAAGGGAATGCGTAAACAACAAAGCCAGGCACAATAAATCCATGTTCCTTTTTTAAAAAAGCAATGGAATTTTATCAAGAACAGTCTGTGGGTTGGAGGGCTGCTTTTGTTCTCTCCAAATTGGGCCCTGCCCTACTTTGTCCCGCCTCTCCACTTCAGATCCACCACAGGATCAAAGCTGAGCCTCTGAGGCAGGCCCAGATTTTGTCCACGGCCACCGGTGACATCATTTTGATCTGCTGTCAACGCGAACGCCTTGTGCGATACGCAGCGTCTGAGCTACATCCATCAGACCGGTGATGCAGTCTCATCACTATGGATACAGATACTGGAGCTTAAGACACTGGCGGGCTCACTACCTCGGTTCGGTCAGAGTCAATAAAACAAGAGCTGTCTGAGGCGCAAAGAAAGGCAGTTGAAGAGGGAAGTTGAAAGAGACGTGGGAAATCCCATTTTAGTAAGCCTTTTGATTCCTTCCTGAAGGGGGCTGGCTTTCAACATTGATCTGATTTTGCACATCTACAATGGAAAAAGATTAAAAGGAAGGGGAGGATGGGTTAGCCTTGCAGCCCACCTCTTGAATCAGCTTAGGGTGGAATCAGATATTTTCTGTCAGGCGTGAAGAATCAGGACCACACATCAAGTTCCAGTTAGAAGATTTATTGCTATAAACAAGAATTTAGTCAACTAACAGCACTAAATTGGTGCTGTTAGCACTAAGAGTCAAGGGCACCATCAATGCTGACACCAGCCAGAGCATAGACAAACTCAAAGAAAGAGTGCAAGATCGGAAGACATCGAGAGAGCTGAATGGATAACATCATCATCATAAGTCAACAGAATTCAAGAGGGGTTGAACTTAGACCGTTTCTGGCAACATAATGACTCCAGACTGATTCCTCTCTTGACTCCGCCTTCAGGCTCTGCCTGTCCTTCTCCTACATCTTCTATTTTGAATTTTTGGGATTGGCTGGTCTGCTCCACTCTTAGAACTCAGGGGAAAGGATGGTAGACACCCATACACAATGTCCCTCAAAAAGCAAAATTTATGACCAGGTCTTACAAAATATGCATGTAAGGGTTGGAACCTATTCAACGTCATACTACCCTTCTCCTCCAAAGAGCCAGAGGTTTGCGTGGTTCAAATGGCTGCGTTTTAATTTCTCCCCAGCCTCGTGATTTACATCCGAGAGAGCAAAAATTATTTGTCAGAAGAAGAGTACGTGAGCTCCCTTTGGGAATCATCACACATACACCAAAATGTGATGCTGGGGTGGAAGCTGTCACTTTTTCTCAAAATGACAGCCCTCTTTGGATGGTTCTAATTCACGTCCCACAAAATAGGCAGGCTTCAAAGATTCCTGGTCTTAGACCAAGACACCAGGCCAAAAAAAGTCAAACTGGTGCGTTGGACGCCCTGCCTGTTAAGCATCCTCCTGATCTGAAGAAGATCATCTGTCTTGCAAACTGTAATCTATTGATTGATTGATTCAGGTCATTCACGGCACACAAATGACTGCAGCATTGTGTTTACCTAGAGATCGTGGACTGTAAAGCATCTTCAGCGGCGGGTAATTCTGTCAAAAACCATTAGTAGAGGGTGTTGCCTTTAGGCATTTGCTTAATTACCGCTCTCCGCTAAAAGAGCTCGCATCCCTAGCTAGGTGTGTCTGACACATTTCCTTTTCTTTGTACTTTGTGAGATGCTAGACTTCACAAATCCTGCCTCTGTGACAAGCACACCCTGGCCCTGGTGTTTCTCCTGACTGGTCGCTGCTGTGTTTTGCTGCAAGCGGCATTTTGGACCTCCGCGTCTTGGAACCGGAGACATGAGCGAGCCAGTTTTTCAAGCTGGAAACAAAATCTGGTTTTAACCATGCAATCTTAAGTTTGTTTTCTCGTTCGTTTCCAGTCTTCTCTGGAGTAATGATGGGATCCGGCCCCCATCAGCTTGTGATGGATAAGCCTCCACTGTGATTTGAGTGTAGACTGTTGCTTGTTTAGGCAAATGAGGAATTCACGCAGGTCATTCCTCGACTTACCACAGTTCATTTAGTTATAACGGCACTGAAAAAAATGGCTTAGGACCATTTTTGACACTTAAACTGTTGCAGCGTCCCTGTGGTCACGTGATCAAAATTCACAACTGGTTCATATCGATGACGGTTGCAGCGTCCCAGGGTAATGTGGGGGGGTGCAGATTTTGCAGGAGTGGAAAAAAGCCCTCGGGGGGGGGCAAGGAGAGGATGGTCCCACCCGGGGGATTCCAATTTTGCATTTTCACTTGGCACGCCTCCTCCAAAACCTTGTCCTCTGTAGCGTGTGCAAATTGATCAATCACATGGTGTGATTTCTCATTCGCTGTCAACTTGCTCACTGATACTGCAATTACAGTGACAGTAGAAGGATGGCACATAAATGCAGAATGCATTCTAACCACATAGATGGTTAGAAAGGAGAGCTTGATAGAAAAAGAGATATTTAACAATAAGGCAATGTTTGTAGTGTGCAGATAGGTAGAATTGGCTTTGTGGTTTTTAACTTGTCTTGGGCTGTGTGTATTATTTGCTTCCCTGGCTAGGGTTTGTGCTTTGTGATGAGGTCTTGTGGTTTTCATGGAGAGGATCCCCACAGCTTCCTTGCATTAAATGTTTCGGTGGACGCGGAGGGCAAGCTTAATTGTAGGCTTCAAAAGATGGTGACTTCTGATCTTGGCTTCACAGCCAGGAGCTCACATCAGTTTTTGCCTGTGTGGTTTTTCACTTGTGAGAATAACAGCTGGAGCCTGACTGAAGGGTCCTAGCAGAGGTGGCACCTCCGATGTTTCAGAATTACACTTGTGAGGAACGCTGGAAATTGTGGTTCTGCAACACACTTGAAGGTCTTGGAGGTGTCCAACCTTGTCCACTTTAAGACCTGTGGACTTCTAATCCCAGAATTCCCCAGCCAGCTATGCTGTCTAAGAAGAGACTAGACAGCCACTTGTCTGAAATGGTATAAGGCTTCCTGTTTGAGCAAGGGGCTGGGCTGGACTAGAAGGCCTCAAAGTCCCTTCCAACTCTATTATTGTGTATTCATCCTGGAAGCCAACATGTCCCATTGGAATGTCCCTCCTGCGGTCTTCCCAAAGGTCACTCCAGTTTCTCTCTTTGACTTGTGAACCAGCTGTTCTTTGCATCCTGTTATTTCTGGCTGTCCCCAGCAGATGACCTATTGCTTGTTTGACATCTATTGGGGTGGCTCTTACAACAACGGCAGGACCATGTGCTGAATCCTGCCTAACTTGATTTCTCTCTGCCCAGAGATGGATTTCCATAAAAGCTTTTTAAGTGACTGCAATTCTTTCCACCATCAGTTCTTCGCTTCTCTAGGTTTTTTTTGTTGTGAGTCATTTAATGTTGTTGCTTTAGCCAAGTCCCCGTTTGCCCTGGAAATCTAACATTAGAGAAAGGGGAGTGTCTAGATTGTGAAATGCTAGAGGCCACCAGAGTGGAGTAGCTTAAGTTTCTCCCTTTCTTAAGAAAAGCAGAAAACTTTGAGTTGTGGGTCTTGAAGCCCCTGAGTAGAGATGTCCAACCTTGGCAATTTTAAGACCTGTGGACTTCAACTCCCATGTTGGCTGGGGAATTCTGGGAGTTGAAGTCCACAAGTCTTAAAGTTGCCAAGGTTAGATACCCCTACTCTAGATTCTACATTGCTAATGCCAGCTCCTTATCTGACCACAAGAGCTTAGACTTCTGGAGATGAGAAGAATTTGAACTTCAGAAGGTCATCTGTTTGAAAGGTGGCTTATCCATCACTATCATGTTGCTCTCCTTCCAAACCTAGCTTCTAGAAAGCATTGGTGTGACTTGGATGATCTTTTATCCCAATTTTGCATTTGGCACATCCACTCAGTGCACTTTTCCGTGGCATCCTTTGATGCTTTTATTGTTCTACAGAATTTTAAGTGGCCCTCAAGTCAATGTTGTAAGGTTAATGTCCCTTTCGTACCCATGCTTTTTCCCTCTCGTCATTATTAATCATTCTTTTTTTGTTAAACGTAGCTGTCTGTTGTTTGCCTGCCAAAATAAAAGGTCATTACCGAAGTCTTTTTTTACAGTCAATTCATAACTCAGATCTCAGCTTGTCTTTAATTCCCAAAGTAGCAGCCTCTTTAAAAATCACTTACAAAACACAAATGAAAGGAAGGGAGGGAGCAGGGAAGTGAAAGAACAGGCTTCTGCTGTTATTATTATTATTTTAATTACTTGATAAGGGGTACTTCTCGTGCTACCCATCCTGATAATGCATGGACAAGGAATAGAAAAGTATTCCTAATTTCCCAGGTGACATTTTGGGGCCCCGAGAGACAGGTTTATTTGGAGGTCCCCTTTTCAGCCATTCTTAGCTTAATAATATTGATATTTATCTGCCCATCTATTCCTCTAATTTCAGAAAAAGAGCCGGGAAGAGACTTGTGGTGAAGGCAGCGGCGTGGAGATTTTGGAAAACCGACCGTATACCGATGGCCTAGGTGGCGATGGGCAGTACACTCATAAAGTATATCATATTGGTATGCATATTCCCAGCTGGTTTCGATCGATACTCCCCAAGGCTGCCCTCCGAGTGGAAGAGGAATCCTGGAATGCATATCCTTATACGAGGACGAGGTACCACCCAGCGATTTTTCCCTTGCATCTTTGCCCCCTTGGTTTGTTGGTTTGTTTTTGCAAAGAGCCTCTGAAGTGGCAGACCAGGATTTGGGAACATGAAAGCGAGCGTTAAGGGTGACCCATATCTCTGCTCGCATGTGGCGGGAACGGCACTGGACCTCACCACAAATCATAGCAGATTTTCTTCCCCCTTTGATTAGAAAGAAATTGGCTATCTACAACATCCAAGATAGCATTTATATGTGGAGAAAAATGTCATTTTAGTTTCTCCAAATCTGCCACGTTGGCAAAAAAAAAAAAGCTTTGTGAAAGCTGAAGTGCTAATGAAATTCTGTGTTACTCTGTGACTCCTGGAGGCCTTTTAATTTATTTTGCTGGCTTTTTCCTTAGGAAAACAGCTGCCTTTATTACACACCGTTTTGAGGTGAAGAGGTTTTTAATCTTTGAGCTTTGAGACTGCTCTTTTTCTCCTCCTCCTCCTTCTTCTTCTTCAGGTACACCTGTCCATTTGTGGAGAAATTCTCCATCGATATTGAAACCTATTATATATCTGACTCAGGAGAGCAAGCCAACGTGTTCAACCTTTCCCCTGCAGAGAAGAGGCAGACTGTTCTGGGTGGGTGTGAGCTTTCCCCCAAATTTTAATTTCTATCTTACGGTTGCTAGCGTGGACGGACAGGTGAGTCCCGTTCCTAGGTTTCAGTTGTGATTGGCCTTCCTCAGACCTCGGCAAAATGGGGATAATTCTTGTGAGTAATTGCATAAAATTGTGACGGGACTCAAATTGCTCCCTGCTGTTTCCCATTTGACCTGAGAGATAGATAAAACATACGAAGAACACTTGCAGGGATTGGGTATGTCTAGCTTCATGAAAAGAAGGGCTAGGGGTGACATGATAGCAGAGGTCCAATATCTGAGGGGCTGCCATAAAGAAGGGGGGGGGGGTCAACCTATTCTCCAAAGCGCCTGAAGGCAGGACTAGAATCAACGGATGGAAATTAATCAAGGAGAGAAGCAACCTGGAACTAAGGAGAAACTTCCTGACAGTTAGAACAATTAACCAGTGGAATGATTTGCCTCCAATACTGAAGGTTTTTAAGAAGAGATTGGACAACCATTTGTCTGGAATGGTATAGGGTCTCCTGCCTGAGTAGGGGGTTGGACTAGAAGACCTCCAAGGTCCCTTCCAATTTTGTTATTTGATAGGAGAAGAGATCTTTTCTAGTAGGAAAACCTCTAGTTTCGGCGAAAGTATGTATCGGCCTCTTGATGTCGTTGGAGCCATCTCCATTGGGTTTAACCTATTAGAATATGGTGTCCTTTTAAGAAAGAGGTGACAGTTAAGATGGCTTCTCCTGAAATGTAGAAGAAGAGAGGTGTTCTTGCTGGCTTCTCCAGGGGAAATTGAGGCCACCCAGCTTCTGCCAACTTGGAATAAACTGTTTAAACAACCAGCTCTTCTTGTGTAAATAGAAAGAGGTGGAGACGATGGTGCTGTTTCTACAGCTCTCCAAACGCAACAAGCCTTTAGGAAAAGGTTGTTGAGGGACAGTTTCCTGTGGCTTGCGTGTATTTATTCTGTGTATTTCCCTCTCCCTGTTTAGATCCTATCGATATTGTTAAGGATCCCGTCCCACCCCACGAATACAAATCAGAGGAGGACCCAAAGATATTTAAATCAGCCAAGACAGCCAGGGGCCCTCTGCCAGAAGACTGGATCAAAGAGCACAAGAATAAACCCGGGAAGTATCCCATCATGTGTGCCTATAAACTGTGCAAGGTGGAATTTCGTTACTGGGGGATGCAGTCGAAAATTGAGCGTTTCATCCATGATGTTGGTGAGTCTTTGATCTCAGGGTCTCCACCTTGAGTTCCGTTCATTTAGGGGGGGTCCTGGCTCAGCCTCCCCAGTGACAGGCATTTCAGGACAGCCTGGTTGAGCCTGGGCATCCTCCAGATGTGTTCCATTCCTAGAATTTGAGAGTTGTCATCTTGACACCCCTGACGTTTGGGAGAGGAAGTTCTCAAAGACCAGAGGACCAAAGATCCGGAAGAATGGTGGAAGAAAGCACAACACCTTGTTGTTCTTCTAACCACTATGGAACAGCTTAAGCCAACTTGGGTTAACCGTTCATATGCAAACAAGCATTTCAATTTCCAGAATTCTGCAGCTGTTGCCTAGAATTCTGGGAATTAGTCTACACATCTGGAAGGCTGGATCTGGAGTGGTATTGCCCAGTGGACTCTCCAGCAGAATCCGTATAAACTGACTCAAGATGTGGTCTGCAGACCCAGGATGAAAGACATCCTGAAATTGAACAAATCCAGAAAGATACATTCCTCAGAAAATGAGGTCCCCAAATAGAGCTCTATCTCAACTGTGAGACGCAGGTACACCCTTCCCAATAAGTTCTAGCTACCTTCACAACTTACAGAAACATCATGAACTCTCTCCAGGAATTTCAGGAAGGAAGGATTTATATCTGAACAGGGAAGAAAATATGGAAACAAGCAAATTATTGTCTTTAGTGGATCGGTAGATGGAAGGTTTTCATTATTTGAGAAGCTTTTGTAGCTTGTCTTAACATGAGTTCAAGACAGCTGGTTGATGAGGGCTGATTTTGGTTTTCCCCCCAGGTTTACGGAAAGTGATGGTAAGGGCTCACCGACAGGCTTGGTGTTGGCAGGACGAATGGTACGGACTCACCATAGAGGACATCCGGCAGCTGGAGAAGGAGGCCCAGCTGATGTTGGCTCAGAAGATGGCCCAGTTCAGCATCAACGAGCCTGATCTAGAACCACACCTTCCCCAAGACTCCTTGAATGAGCGCAGTGTGGAATCCAAGGCCATATCGCCATCCATCGAGGGGGTGGATGCCACAAGCAATACTGACGAATCTTTGCCAGGGCGAGTGCTAACTAAGCAGTGGTCAACGTCTTCCAAGTCCTCTTCGAAAAGGGGAGGTGAGTCGGGCCCCAAAGCTGGCAAAAAGAAAGCTATGGGACTCTAGGTTCCATGGTGGATTTTAGTGTAGTGTGAGGAGAGTCATCCTATGAACTGTATTTAATAGAACTTTCTTCTTCTTCTTCTTCTTCTTCTTCTTCTTCTTCTTCTTCTTCTTCTTCTTCTTCTTCTTCTTCTTCTTCTTCTTCTTCTTCTTCTTCTTCTTCTTCTTCTTCCTCCTCCTCCTCCTTCTCCTTCTCCTTCTCCTCCTCCTCCTCCTCCTCCTCCTCCCCCCCCTCTCTCTCTCACACACACACACAGAACTGCTCTCTCCCTTGAGACCAGATCCACCCAACTGCAGTAACACAGGACAACAGGTTGATCTAGGAACGCAGGTCCCAGTGGGCTTTTTCATCATCTTTTTGAGCTTGCTTGAGCAGACATCTGCCCACTGGCGTTTGCCTTTCCTGCTGCTCTGATGGGAAGGCAACTCTTCTGCCCACCTGCTTTTCACCTTGCTGGGTTTTCTACTGCCCAAGCGAGACCCCTGGAGTAAGCTTGGAGGGCCAGCCTGTCTGATTCCCTCTCCTATTTTTAGCAGCTTTTACACAAGAGCCTTTGACGTCAATCTAGAGTGATTTAATTGTCAGTCTGCTCCCTGATCCCCAAAGGATTTGGGGTGGAATCAGCAGGAAGGGTGCACGGAGCCAAGGCGGAAGACAGAATTAGTTCCGCGGCTCATCCCATAGCCTTTCCAGAGGACAATTAGTGAAATTGGAGTCCAGAGCAATTGCTGGCAAGGTCAGCTTGTCTTCTGGTCTGCTTCAGAGAGAATTTGTTGCAGCTCAAGGTTGAACTGTGGGGTCCTTGGTGCTCTCTGACTTTGGTGGTTTTCTTGCAGATCTTTCATTACCCAACTAGGTAACATCATCAGTGCACTGATAGTGTTACCTAGTTTGGTTGTGAAACATCTGCAAGAAAATCACCAAAGTCAGAGAGCACCAAGGACCCCACAGTTTCGTCCTCCTTCAGTTCCACTCTGCAACCCCCCTCCCTCCTTCTAGCACTGATGATGTTATCTAGTTGGGTAATGAAATGTCTTCAAGAAAGCCCGGCAAGCTCAGAGAGCACCAAGGACCCCACAGGTCTTCGGGCATAAATGAGGGGTTTGGGGTTCCCGTGCCATCCTCCATCAGCCTTGCTATTCACCAACACAATCCCAGCAGGAATCTCTATTTGTTTCCCTGGTCCTGCACTTCCTAGAAAAAAAGCAGATTTTTTTTCCCCCTCAGGGGGGGCCAAGGTGTAGTTTTGGTGAGGAATGTCAAGTACTTTAGGAATGCAGTTTTCATTTTCTTTCTGTGTGCTTTTCTGCATTAATGCGTATCTCACTGCCTGGCAAAGCACAGAGCTTCTCTGCTTAATGACAGGCGGAAGGTCTGGTTTGTAGAGGCAATTAGGGTTGATAAAAAAAAAACCTGAATTAATCACTCTCTGATCTCAACAACTGCTGAAATTGTAATCTTAGCTGACAACCCCAGCACTGCGCTTAGATCTCTCTCTCTCTCTCCCTCTCTCTCTCTCTCTCTCTCTCTCTCTCTCTCTCTCTCTCTCTCTCTCTCTCTCTCTCTCTCTCTCTCTCTCTCTCTCTCTCTCTCTCTCTCTCGTTTTGCCTGCTACAAAAGCTTGCTGTTTTTTTTCTTCTTCTTTTTTTTTTTGCAAACCTTCCTAACAGGGGAACGAAGCTCTTTACTGCAACCTCCCTGTGCTTTGGAAAGAAAAGAAAAAAAAAACATGTTCAATTAGACCACTTCCTTTGCTAAATTGCCGGCCTGTGCATCCAAAGTGATTTTTTTTCCATCCTTCCCTGGCTTATAAATAGCTTTACTCATTCAGAGCGAACAGCGGCCGGAGGTTCTCTGATTGTCAGGCTGTCTGGGCAGTGGGTAGTGAGCACCATAAACAAGGGTCAATGTCGGCAAGGGAAATTGGACGTAGCATCCTTGGATCTGCCGTGCCCTGAAAGCACGGCGGATGAGTTTCCACGGGGCTGCGCGGCTGGGCCAGTGCCAGCAAAGGCACCCACCCCTTGGTCTCCGTGAAGAACTGAGGGTATAAACCTCTCCTATTTCTCCTAGCAAGCCCCTCGCGCCATAACATCTCGGAGTGGAGAATGCAAAGCATTGCTCGGGACTCGGAGGAGAGCTCCGACGAGGAATTCTTCGATGCACACGGTAGGTGGGAAAACACACACACACACACACATGTACACACCCGCTTTCCAAAGGGGTTGCCTTAGATGGGGCGGGTGGCAACCTGAGACTTTGCGTTCTTACTTCCAATTCTCGCCATCCAGGCAGGCAGGCAGGCAGCAGCTGTTTCTGGAAGAGAAAAAGCTGGCATTGCTCGGCTGACACTTTTTGGTTTGATGGGTGGAGGGGGCCAAGGAGGTCCAAGATGCTCAGAGGGGCAATATATATATTGATATATATATTTAAAAAGGCAATGAGAGCCTTCCCCTTCAATTCAGGCCCAACTGACAGATGATAAAATATGATTAAAAATATAATGTTAAAGTATTTATGCCTTAATTGCTCTCTTCTTCTCTCCCTTCCACTTCCCCTTCGGCTTCCTTCCTTTCTCTTTCTTTTTTTCTTTCTTCTTCTCTTTCTCCTTCTCTTTCTCTTTCTCTTTCTCCTCCTCCTCCCCCTCCTCCTCAGAGGATCTGTCTGAGAACGAAGAGGTGTTCCCGAAAGAGATTACAAAATGGAGTTCAAACGATCTCATGGATAAGATTGAAACGGCAGAAACGGATGAAGTCTCAGGTAGTATATATATATGTGTGTGTGGAACAAATTGACGAAGAAGAAGAAGTTTCACTTCACATCCAAGAAGCTTCATGGGTTCACCAGAATGATGAAGCTTCTTGGAAGAGAAGTGAAATTTCTTCTTCTTTTTTTCTTCAAAGATAAAAACAGTCCAGTTGCCTTATGACAAAGCACTTTTGAGACATTCACCTGACTGTGTTGAGTGTGGCTCAAGCTGCAATGATCACAAACTTCCTCCAGATTAAACCCCGGCTTTTATCTCACTGGCAGGAGATAAACCCAGTTTACAGGCCCACCTTTTTTTCCTTCCAGACGATCCTGGCCTGGAATCGGCAGCGGGATATCATGTCGGATGCAGCGTGGAAAGACTAAGCATTATTGAGGTATAACATTTGAATCCATGTCCTGCTCTAATCGAAAAGCAAACCAACTTAATTCTCCTGCACCGTACTTCTGTGATCTGTCCATATGACCTGGGACTTGGGATGTGGGCTCCAGAACAGCTTGGCTTGTTCTCTGAGGATGTTCATCAAGAATGGACCCAGAATTACGGTCATTAAGTCATTACAGTCAAGGCGACACATAACCAGACCCTATTTTATGACCATGGGACCGCGGCAAATAGCCGTAAATGTGGCCACATGTCTGCATGGGGGAAGAAGTGGGGCAGCTGTCACATGGAAGAGGTCCTAAGTAGCTTTGGGGAGTCTGTCATAACTTCGAACGTTCTCGAGTGGTTGTAAGTCAAGGACTACCTGTCGTGTTCCGTCCCTACTATCCTCTCTATGCAAAACCCATGGAGTTTTCTGGGAATCCAGTTTTATGCAACACGTCTGGCTAATTATAAGGAGAATAAAACACGTAGCAGCAACAGTGTTCAATTAAGGTGCCAATGTGCCAAGGGGAACTTGGAAGTGATACAAAAAAATTGAGCAGGTTCCAGGAAAGAACGCAAATCTATTCTTGTCACCCTTCCAGCCGATCCTCCTTTGTGTTTACATGTCTTTCTTCATCTCGCCTGAAGCATCTGAAGCCTTGTATGGTGTCCAGGGGCCCATAGTGATGTCTGTGAGATTTTTGGGGTTCAGTTAGGGATCTGCCTAACCAGCAGGCCAGAAGATCTGAAGGCTTCCAAATGATTGGACCATACCCCAAACTTCCTGCTTCTCCAACAGATCCTTGAGAACCCATTTGATCTGAATCTGGTCTTCCTCGCTCTCTTCTTCCCAGGATGAAGTGACACCTCCACGGGTGCAGCCCAGCCAGATCCATGTCCTCCTTTTGGTTCTGCATGGAGGCAACATCCTTGATACAGGGAGTGGGGAGCAGAGCTCCAAGCAGGGGGACGTCAACACCATCGCCACCGCCTTTGAGACCGTCATCAGGGTCCATTACCCAGCTGCCCTTAGTCGGATAGCCATCAAACTGGTCCCTTGCCCAGCTATCTGCTCGGAAGCATTTTCTCTGGTTTCCAAGTGAGTAACCGCTTGGTTTTCCAGAAGGTGGGATGGGATTTAGGGAAGGGTAGGCTTGTCTTGGTGCCTAACCCAGTCTCTGGTTTGTTTTATTATCCAATGGATTTAGGCGCCAGCTGTGGACCTAACATCTGGTTTTAATTTTGATGGCTGCATGTGTAATAAATCACTTAAGATGGCTACATTGTAACTTTGAACAAATGGTTGTAAGTCAAGGACTACCTATATCCAGTAGGCTTTTCCGAGAAAGGAAAGATCTTTGACTCCTCCTCCTCCTCCTCTCTGTAGCCTCAGCCCATATAGTTACGACGAAGGCTGCCTTTGCAGTAGCCAGGATCACATCCCCCTCGCTGCGCTTCCTCTCCTGGCTACGTCCTCCCCGCAGTACCAAGAGGCGGTTGCCACAGTGATCCTGAGAGCCAATCAGGTGTACAGCGACTTCATCAAGTCCCAAGAAGGTGTATCGTTCAACGGGCAGGTGAGCAGGGGGATGGCCTCCATCATCAGAGATAAGCCCAGCCACCCTCTTTCCGGGCTGGCGAAAGTTTTATCAAAACAGATAGTTGATTTAAGGCTTGATTTAAGACCAAAAAAAAATTCAATATTGAATAACCGTTATTGAAAGGAGTCAATCTGCAGATTGAATCTGCCAGTATCTGGATTCCTGTTGAATAGGTCATTGGCCACATTGCGTTGACTCTCAGCTGAGGAACACCAGTTGGGTCAAATTGTGGCTGTAGCTTCTTTCCTTACCCCAGGAGTAGGCAAGATATAGACTTTCAATGTACACTTTGATCTCCTCTCCAAAGTCCTTGAAATCAACATGTTCACCCCTCTAACTCTACTGGTGGTAGCTAGTATCTTCACCGGTTAGGATGAAATGGGAGAAACAGGTGTGTCTATACATTCGTGACTTTAATTGTTCTAGTTTTGGACTCCTGTCACCACCAGCCTGAACTTCCCAAGGGAATGTTCTAGAAGCCACATACTTTTTTGGAGGAGAGGGAATATTAATGGATAAAGGAGAACCTCCAGGCTGCAGCAGCCTAGATTTTTATGAGCTGAAACCATGCCAATTGCTGTTCTGCCTCCAGCACCATCTGAAGGAACTCATTAGAAAGCAGGTTCCTTCTGCTTTCAAGCTTAGCCAACAGGCCTTCCACGTAACCATGGATGAAGGTGGCCTTCATCAACATCTGGCGTTAGACAACTGTGCTGGGTCCACTCTCCTTAATCTAACTTAGTGATCTTCAAGGTGGACCCTCTCAGTGAGCCCTCAGACATGGCTTTCTAGAGATACCCATAGCCCCTAGACTCAATGTTTCCCAACCTTGGGCATTTCCAGAAGTGTGGACTTCAACTCCCAGAAGTCTCATTCATGATCATGCTGGCGGTGGAATTCTGGGAGTTGAGGTCCGCACTGCTGGAAATGCCCAAAGGTTGGGAAACATTGAGTCTAGCCTTTCATTCTCTGCTTTTGGTTGGGAACTTGAGTTGGTGTCCCTCAAAAATAACCAGGTATGGGTTTTGTTTTCCTCAGGTGTGTCTGATAGGGGACTGCGTGGGAGGAATCCTGGCATTTGACGCCCTGTGTTATAGCAACCAGACCATGCTGGAGAGTCAAAACAGTAGCCGGCGTGGGAGCGTCATCAGCGTGCAGGTAAACAAGTCAAGCTCTCAAGCTGGTTCTGGACAGAAAGCAAAGGCAATCAAACCAGGTTGGTGCAGAATCCGGGACCCACAAAACCCCTGTTGGGGACCCCAGGGCCAACATGAATATGGCCACTAAACTGTGATGTTCAGTGCAACGGATGAAAAAGGATAGAACACACGGTGAGTAACAATATTAATGGATTTTTGTTTTTTATCTTGGGTTTAGCTTTGTCTCTGACTCTGCGTGTTTCTTTCTCTTGGCCCTGGTCCTTTGGGAATTACGCAGAGAAGGAATTACGGACACGTTATGCTCTCTGGAAACTGGGCAGGCTCTGAGGTAGACACAGAGCCTGAAATAACAATTCCGCAATTCCTTCTCGGTGTAATTCTCCCATTTCACCTCTGCAAGGCCAGCACTGAATTTCATAAACCTGCTTAGCTCATCTAATTATTTATTAAATTTATATGGCACCCATCTCACAGTCAAGCCACTCTAGGGGGCTTGCTACAAGATTAAAACAATCTTATAAAACAGGGCTCTCTCCAAACTTGGCGACGTTTAAGACTTATGGACTTCAACTCCCAGAATTCTATGGGAAGTCTATGCTGGCTGAGGGAATTGTGGAGCTGAAATCCACCAGTCTTAAAGTTGCCAAGTTTGGAGACCCCTGATCTAAAACACTGACAAATATGAAGATTGCAATTAACCAAGATTCGCTCGGGAAGGAACCCATCTCCACCCGACAGGATGGAGATGAACCCAGATACGACAGGATGATGTTTTGCATCCTTCCACGGGATGCAAATGCTTGGTGAGCACCAGTGATCTTTGCAGCCTCACTTTCTCCCCTCTGGGCTGGTGGTTAAAACCACAGCGGCCACAGAAAGAATCAGATTACTTGCTAAGTGCAAACCCGACAAGCGAGGGGTGAACCGGTCCAGCAGCCGACGGCGGTTGAGCTGGCAGTCGGGCTGTGCGTGGATCTCCTTTCCCCAACAGAGCTGGACACCCTTCTGCCCTTTCTCGAGACTCTGATGACCTGGCCTGTGTCGTTCAAATTCCAGGACGCGGATCTCCTGTCTCCCGGCATCCTGGTGAACAACAGCTACTGCTCGGAAGGCTGTGGGCTGGAAGCCAGCCGGCATCTCAGCCGGAGCACGGCAGATCTGCCGCGCAGCAACGAGGAAGACCCCCAGAAGCAGCAGCTGCTGCGGAAAAGGAGCGACTCCTCCACCTTCGAGCTGGACACCCTGAAGCAGCACCAGGCGTTCCTGTCCAGGTAGCAGAGGTGGAGAGGCGGATCTAGTTGGGCGCCATGTTTGTCTTGGACTTCCTAGAGAAGAGAATAATTGTAGCTTGGGGTTGAATCGTCGGCGTCCTGGGTGCTCTCTGAGCTGGGTGGTTTCCTTGCAGATGTTTCATGAGCCAACTAGGCAACATCATCAGTGCTAGAATGTCTGCAAGAGATCCACCCAGCTCAGAGAGCATCAAAGACCCCACAGTTTTCTGGGGGGGGTGCCAGGTCTCCCCTAATACCTATTATCTCCCAGCAAGATCAACCCTGTGATGAGGTAGGCCATGTTGAGATAGAGAGGAACCGGCTCAGATTGCTGAGCGAGCTCTGTGGGGACTTGAACTGAGGTTTCCTTGGGATTCTCCAGACTTGTTCAATGGACGCCTCCCCCTCCCCCCAGTGAAGCGTTGCTCTGCCCTCCCCCCCCTTGAAATGAGCTGCCCAGGAATTGATGTGCAGGTGGTCCCAAGCTGATAAGAATGCTTGCTGGCTCAGCCATGCTGCCATCAATTTTATTTAGCATGTTTCCCATCGGTAGGAAAATTCTCTCTGTTGTTCCGAAGATTTATCGGATTTGGGCGGCTTTTGTTTTACTCCCTGCACTAAATAATTTGGAGCACTGTTGTCTTCCTCCAACCTCGGAGGAAAAGGGAAATTATAACACCTTCGCTTCGACTCGCTGCTTGTGATTAACGGCTTCCCCAGCTCTGCAGATCACCCGGCAAAAAATGCTGGATGATTGTAGGGACCTTGGAGGTCTTCTAGTCTAACCCCCTGTTCGGGCGGGAAACCCAATAATTACGAGAACCTCATTTTAAGGTGGTGCTAAACTAATTTTTTGGGTTTATTTATGTTTTAGTTGATATAGTTTTTATCTTTCATGATTGTTAGCCGGGCAGAGTTACCTTGAGGTAAGGTGGGTGGCCTATACATTCTACAAATAAATAAATAATGTTGTGTGCGAGCTGCCGAGATTGCCTTCCTCTTTCACTTCCCTCTCTTATTTCTTCTCTCTTGTTTCTTTTCTTTTCTCTTTACCCCTTTTAACTACCCCTTCTTGCCCCAACACCTTCCTTGAGGAAGAAATAGGTAAGCTGCACTCACCGCTTTCTGTGTTGTAGAGAAATCTAGAACGTCGGGGGCATGGTGCTAGTCTGGAGGGCAGCCATCTGCCAAGAAATCTCTTGAATGTAATCCAAGAGAGCAGATTCTTTTAGCAATAACCCCCTTGATCGAGGGGGTCTGACTGATGGAAAGCCTTGCCCTCGTGGCATGGAATAGCCCAGAGAATAAAGGCATTCAAGAATGGCTGAAACCTTCTGCAGATGTTCTTCTCATGGACGAGAGAAACTAAATAGATATCTGAATGTGTTTTTTTCTCTCCAAAATATCATGGGTTGAAAATTAAACCTGGCTTAAGGGGTTGTATTCAGAAATATTTCAGCCAATGCCTACATTTCTTCCCTTCCTGTGGCATTCTGTCAAGAAGTACCAAGTCAGATATCAATATCAGTGAAAGACAACAAAGAATACAAATAAAAGAGAATGGTCAAAAAGCAATGAGAGGGAGCAGAGCTTTGCTTAATCCCTTCTTCTAATTTAAATTTTGCAATCAAAATAATTCCACGTGGGGTGGACCCTACAGCATAATCATGCCACAAAATTGATGGTTATTTCATTCTGCTGCTGCTTTAAGCAGCTAGTCCTCAACTTGAGACTGGGATGGAGCCTGTCCAGTATATGGCTACCAGTCTTAATGGTTGTAACTCTTGACCGTTGTGAGTCAAGTGTCTGTGGAGATTCTCCATCATCCAGGTCATGGTTGTCCCAAAGAGGCTTTTTCCACAAGGCAATTGGACTTCCTTGGTTTTTTCCCCTTGAAAACATTTTGCTTCTCATCCTGAAAAAGCACTTTTGGGACAATTGTTGAGTCAAGGATTCTCTGTACAGGCCACCCCTGCAAATGTCCTCTGTCCAAGGTTCTGATGAGTACTTTTCTGGTATTCCTACAGCAAAATTGCATGTTTCGTCAACTGGAGCATGAAGTATAAATGTGTTTATTACATAAATGTGTTTTACTGATTGTCCCTCTTTTGGTGTGTCTGTATCGCTGCTGATGTTCTATCTTTTGCCCTCTCTAGTTTACATTCTAGTGCTCTGAAGAACTTTCCGGGATCACGGCGATCCAGTAGCTCCACTCAGTTGGACGGTGGTGGGAATCTTGGGAAGCTTGAATTTGAGATCTCAGACTTCTTCCTCTTTGGGTGTCCGCTGGGGCTGGTCCTTGCCTTACGAAAAACCATCATACCAACTCTTGACAGTAGGTTCCCTGGTGGGGAAGGGGGCCTCCTGAAGCTAGGTCTTCCTTTTCACAGGTTTTGCGAGCAAAGATGCAAACTTGGAGTGCTGGAATTAATCCCGAGACCAACGCGAGCATTTCTTAAGAGTTTTTCCAATGTATGACAAAATTCAGAGTTGCACAGATTGCATTAACTTTGACTATCTGGAAGAGCTTTAGAGCCAATGAAGAGGGTTGTTCATGAGATAGCAGAGCTGTGGATTATGGTTTCAGTATCCGTCCCCTTTGCCAATTCTTTCTCTTCTCTCTATGGCTTAGTCTTCCAGTTGAGACCAGCCTGCCAGCAAGTCTACAACCTCTTCCACCCAGCTGATCCTTCTGCCTCTCGCTTGGAGCCTCTTCTAGAGAAGAAGTTCCATATTTTACCTCCCTTCAACATACCACGTTACCAGCGGTTCCCTCTTGGGGATGGCAATTCAGCTCTTCTGGGTAAGTTCAGTCTCCCCATTTCTATCTTATAAGCAAACAGGTGATGGGGTGGGCGGCACGTGCTTTAAATTCCTGAAGTGTCTCTTGCCAGCGAGAAGAAGTTGAGACACGGTCAAGATGTTCCTCAGGAATCTGAGGTCCACATATTGTCTTCTAGGCTGGGGAAGCATTGATTTGCAAATCCAGATTTCCTTAAGTCCTTAAGTGAAGCTGGAGAGTTGGAGAAAATCAAATCCAGCTGAGGTGGCCAAGTTAAAACTCTTTGGATGACGAGATACACAAGTCCTAGACCCTTTGTTTCTGAGGAACACAAGCAATGGCAATTTCCTAGGGTTTTAATCCTTGCTGTAGAGTCGCCCTTGTCTTCAGCTGCCATAGATCCTTTTTCATGTGAAGGACACACTATTCTGAGTCAGCCATCAGGAATTAATTGCTGTCAAGCTTATGTCCCATGTGGAAACTCTGTGGGATTAGCTTTTGAAATGATCTCCAGCACAGTGGTGATCAAATATTGAGTCTTGGGCTAACAAGCAAATACAGCTGTCTGTTTAATGAACAGCGATGGTAGAATGTTAGCTTTCTCCCTACGGGTGTGTAGGAGCCCCTGGAGGTAGACTTCAAAATCGTTGCTCTTAGCTACAATCCACCAAGTCTTCTGCTCCAGACTTCTTTAAGGTCCAACCTGATAATTAGAACCAACCTCTGAAGGATGGGTGGGAGCTCAGCTGAAATGGTCATATCTTGGACATCAGAAAAAACAGATCAAGTTGGATTTATGGGTGGGAACTCAACCAAAATATTCATACCTTGGACTTCAGAAAATAAAATGCACCAACAATAAAAGAAAGCGTTCTGCATAGCCACGAATTCTGGTTTTTATGCCACTGGGCCCACGTCACCGTGAACTGCCCCCACTTCTGCTTTTGGGTCCAGGACAATGTGATTGGGAGAAGATCTGTGTTTTGGACTATGGATCACCACTGAACAGGTATAAAAGGTGGGTTGACTTCAAGTGGAGAACAAACAAGGTGGACAAAGAATCCATCAAGACTCTCCCTGTTCCTAAAAAGATAACTCCATTGTCCTCTCGTCTAGATGTGGACCTCACCCCCACAGCAATTAAGGTCCAGCATCTTCTCTCAGCTATAGCCACCACCCTTTTATACCTGCTCAGACCTCACTAGGGTCTACCACCAAAGCTTTGTTTCCAGCATCCAAACTCTTGTAGAAGACGGTGTTGATGTTGGTTGTAAGTGTCCTGTTCCAGTGCTTGTGGCCACATGTCTCTTGTCTTCTTGTTTTTTTATTTTTCTTGGTGCCCCTTTTTGTTTCCTTCCTCGTCTGCTTCTAGTGGAAACAGTCCAGAACAATCCTGCCCTCCTCGTTGAAAGCAACCTTCTGGTTGCTCTTCAGAACCAGGACAACTTCATGGAAACCAGTATCCCCGTCCCCACCTTGAACTGGCAAGACGTTTCCAATAAAAATTCTGGATTTGCTGAGTGTGTGTGATCTGAACCTTCCCCCATTTGGTCTGGTGTGGTGTTTTTGGAGTGGCGACTAATGCTTGTGCATCCCATCTTGAAAGCTTTTCCATCTTCTTAGAAGACAGACCCAGGGAGAACGTTCCAGCTGTGCTGGAGAAATCAGGAGAGATGAACGAAAGAGGAAACTCTTTGCATTGCTGGAGAGACAGACCCCCCAAATCAATATCCATCTTTGACGATTTTCCTCTAAAGATGAATGATCTCCATTCGTTTCAACCATTTTCTCAAGCGGGGCCCCTCCAGATATGCTGAGCTAGGGTCACCCGTAAGGGACCAGAACAGTTGTGATGTTGACTGAGGATGATGGGTGACAAGACATCTGGAAAGTGCCAGGCTTCAGGGAAAAGCTGCAGCCACGTCTGCTTAGAAGTCACCTTTGTGTAGTATTTCAGTGGGATGTAACTCACGTTGGTGGGTACGGAATTATGGAAGTTCTAGCAACAGAGTGCCACCTTCTCTAGAGCTCAAGTTGAATCGTCAAGTTGAGTTCTTGGCTTATTTCAGGGCCCAGGAAAGGCCATGCTTGCATTTATCTTTGCAGGGGCTGCCTCCAAACCTACTTAATTTTTGGCAAAGGCTGGACTTAAGAATTTTTCTTGCTCCTTTTGGGAAAGCTTTCACAACCCCCCCACCTTCTCCCCATCCTTCTTGTGGCTTCTCTTCCCTGTCCCAACAGCTCTCCTGCATGGCGTATCTGTCAGCTTGTGGGTGTCTTGTTTGAGTTTTAGGATTTGGGTTGCCTTGCTTTCCCATGCCCCCCTCCCATTCAGATTTGGAATCAACTCATGAAGCCCCTCTAGAGCAGGGTTTCTCAACCTTGGCAACTGGAAGATAGGTGAACTTCAACTCCCGGAATTCCGCAGCCTGCATGGCAACCTTAAGATGTACGGACGCATCTCCCAGAATTCCCTAACCAGCATGGTGACCTTAAAATGTGTAGACTTCGACTCCCGGAATTCCCCAGGCTGCATGGCAACCTTAAAATATGTGGATTTCATCTCTTAGAATTCTGGGAGTAGAAGTCCACACATCTTAATATTGCCGAAGTTGAGAAACTCAGCTCCCCACAAAGTCTGCCTGTTGGTGTGAGTCATTCCAGCACTCAGGTGGAATTCTTCGATTTTCCCATTTCCTTCTAAGGAAGATTTGCTTGGTTTCTCTTCTGTTGGTTTCCATGGCTGTGGAGATCCTGTTTTGATGCTTTTGTCATTGTCCACCTAATTTTTCCCCCTTGGTGCTTCCCTACCAAAGCTTCTTCTTCTGTGGAGTTGGTTTTGAGAGCTTTGATTTGATGTCCACCAAAGTGACATCCAACCTATTTTTATGTGCCTGCCTGCTTTTTCTTTCTTTATGTATTTATGGCATCCTGGTTGTCTTTGTGTGTGTGTGTGTGGTTGGTTTTAATATTCTCGATTTCCCTGTTTCGTCCCTGTAGCAGATGTTGTTCAGTCTCATGGTGGCGTCTTGGTGGAAAACGCATCCCCGTCTGCTCCCGTTTCCACTCCCCAGTTCAGGGCCTTCCGGAGAGCAAGTGAAGTGAGCACTGTCAGCCAGGTGTCGGGGATGGCAGACAGTTACACTGCTTCCAACATAGCCAACAGTAAGTGTTTTTTCCCACGGAAATGAGCCTACCCTGTGCTTCGTTCCCTCAACCTATGAAGATCAGCTGATACCTTCTGCTTCTCTTTGCTCCTACCATGAAGTTCTCCAAGACTGGGAATAAACCTTTTCAAGATGTTGCAGAAGAAGGAAAGGCTCGTGGTTAGCACCCAAAATGAATGCCGTGTCCCTCACAATCAAAAAAGCCAACTCTTTACAGATCCAGAGTTTGTACTGCAGTGTTTCTCAAGCTTGGCAACTCTTAAGATGTGTGGACTTCAACTCTGGGAATTGAAGCCCACACATATTAGAGTTGCCAAGCTTGGGAAATATGGCTGTATTGCAATAAATCAGAAGTTAAATTGTCCATTTTTGTTCCTAGGTTCAGAGAACATCATTCCAACTCAATGCCCCGTTGACCTTCAGAGTTTTTCAACTCTACTTTCTTACCCTCCCATAATTCCTGAAACCCCAAAGAACAAGGGCGCAACCCTTGTTAAGAAGTCTTAACTTTCAAAAATTGCTTCCCTTTTCAACTTCCTATCTTGGTTCATCAGCTCAAGATCACAAATTCCCAACTCCGAAGCCAAAGGAATGGTTGACTTTTACCTCATCCAATATATGGTTGAACGCATTCTACACCCCAATGTATTATTAGAGGTCAAAAATCTGTGGTGCATTTTTTTTTGCATGGTTCCCTGTCTGTTTTAACAAAAGCGTGTGTTTTATTTTTGTGTTGTCTTTCTCCGTCTCTCTCTTTCTCTTTGAAAATGTGATTCCTTTTAGAGAAAAAACACCATCTCAACCACTCCAGAGGGTTTAGCCTTCTGGCTCTCCTAGCGCTCCCCCACAAACCCCACATCCAGTCCTTCCCCCAGAGGACTGGGGGGCACAAGCTCGAAAGATCCCCGAATCCTTTAGGACGAAGGTTTGAGAGCTCCCTCCACAGGGAACTGGAGACCGTTCATCTGATTCCAGAGCTTGACGTCCATGAAGGTATTCTGGAGAGTGAGGAGAACGGGATCAAAACGGAGCAATTGCTTATCTCTTCTTTCGCTGTCTCCAGAACCCAAAAATCATCTTCAAAGGAGGTCTTTCTCAAATCTTGCTCTGTTTAACAAACCACTCTTTTTACTCTCGCTCTGATTAACCGACATGCTACTAACAGCCCGTCACAAAGAGTCAAGCTCATTCAGATTCCTCTTAACGTTCTACGCTGCACGTGTCCTCCGATTATCTTGTCCTCTTGAGCTGTTCCTTGGGAAGGAAAGGCTGGTTCTTGACTGCCCTACTTTGGAGAATTCCTTAAATACTTGGTGAGCCTGAAAAAGCAGAAATCTTTTTTTGCAGAATTTGGCTTAGAAGCTCTCACTTTGCTTTCCCAACTCTCAATTTAACATTGAGAATCTGGTCAAATGTGGTCCCACTCCATATTTGAGTGGCTATGTGTATTATCATCTCAGGTGTGGCTTTTTCCTGGAATTAAGAGCAGAATTAAGAGAAGGAATTGGATGAAGTTCAGCAAAGTCATTTCTTCTGAGATGGAGGCTACATAAATTTGATTTATAAATAAATCAACCAAGTTAGTTCGCTTTTCCGGACATAAAATCTAGGGATTCTCCTCATGGGCTAGTCTTTGACACTTTCCATTTAAATTTCCAAGAATGATAACACTGAATAACAGGTGAGGACTTTCTTATCCAGTTCAGCTTCTTTCTGTCCTTTTTTTGGGGCCCAAATTTTGGCTACTCTTGTCGTAGATTCAGAAATAGGTTCCTCAAATCACAAGGAATGCCAATCTGTTGACTCTCCCAAGGTGGTGAGGCAGCTCCTCCTGGACCTTCCATGGTCCGAGAAGAGCCGTGGCCAAACACTTCATAGGATTGACGTGGCCAGGGGAGTTTTCTCACCCTTTTCCTGGAGGGTACATGGTTTTGGGAGTTGACACAGATGAAACGATGGGATACTTTGAAGAAACCTAACAGGATCTCTTTCTGCTCTCAGTTGCGGCAAAGTGGTGGGGAACCAAAAGGATTGACTATGCTCTCTACTGTCCGGATGCACTGACCGCCTTTCCCACAGTCGCCTTACCACATCTCTTTCATGCTAGTTACTGGGAATCCACGGACGTGGTCTCCTTTCTCCTCAGACAGGTGAGTGTCCTCCTGCCTAGATCCTTTCTATCCCTTTTTGACTGCCAGCTGACAAACCATTGCCCATCCCGGGCTTAGTGTGGAGTACAGACTCCTTGGCCATTTGTAAACCAGAGTTTGTGTCTTTGTGGGTCGTGCCAATGTGGCCTGTTCATCAGACGTGGCTTCGCAGCGAGAACAATCTCAGTTTCACCTTTCAGGTGATGCGCCATGAGAACAGCAGCATCCTTGAAGTGGATGGGAAAGAAGTCTCCGTCTTCACGCCTTCCAAACCCAGAGAGAAATGGCTGCGCAAACGGACTCACGTCAAGCTACGGGTGGGTTGCGTTCGTCCCCCCTATCTGCCAGTGCCCCAAACGGGGGGGGGGGGGGACAGAGAAGGATGAAAAAGCCCCAAATTGCAACTTTGGGTTTAGAACCAGGATGATGATGGTAACACTGATTCAGCCAGAAGGAATAATAGCAGTAATAACTGGCTGTTTGTGCCATGAATAATAACAATAACAATATGAAACAGTTTGAAAACGACGACCACGATCAAGTGTATAAGAAAAAGGTTATAAGATGGAGTTTAACTGGCAACATGCAGAATCTGTTGTATAATCCAATATTTGTCAGTGCAGCGAAGGGGGGGGGCTGACAGCTACCCCGAGAGTTGAATTAAAAAGTAAATTTAAATCAATGAATCCACTCAGCCAGGGAGAAGAAAGCTCTGTGCATAAAAATGATTAATCGCCATCCAGACTCATTGATCACCCTACGTCAACTAACAAACAAGACATGTCAAGAATTATGTACGAGTAGAAGATGTTGAAAACACAAAATCAAAAATAAATGATAAGATTGTGCTTCTGCCGTGTCCTTCAGGGTGGGAATTGATGCTCCCAAATCCGACATTTGCTCCCTCTGTTCTTTTGGCAGAATGTCACAGCCAATCACCGAATCAACGACACCGTAGCCAACGAGGAAAGGCCCCAGGTGTTGAACGGGAGATTCATGTATGGCCCGTTGGACATGGTCACGCTCACAGGGGAGAAGGCGAGTTGCTGATCTGCTCCCGCGAAGCTCGAAAAGGTGGCAGATGTAGAACCAAAGGGCGCTTGGTCCTATAGGAACTCACGTCCCAACTGTAATTGCTCCGGTAGCAGTGGCATTTGTAGAATTCTAGAACAAAAGAATTGGTATGGGTTGTAGAGGTCCTCCAGTCCAATCTCCGAGTAGGTCTACCTATCTTAAGATGCCAAGGTTGAGGAACATTGATCCAGAGCTCTCAATCTCGATCATGGCTGGCGGGGGAATTCTGGGAGTTGAAGTCCACCTATCTTAGAGCTGCCAAAGTTGAGCGCTATTCTAGAGCTCTTGGTCAACCAGAATAGAAATTAGAGCTAAGTAGAGCCATATTAGCAAGATCAGTAAGAAGCCGCATGCCAGATATACCCAAAAGAAAGTGATGTGTGGACTTCAACTCCCAGAAATCACCAGCTGAGGAATTCTGGGAGTTGAAGTCCACCTATCTTAGAGCTGCCAAGGTAGAGAAACATTAATCTAGAGCCCTCGATCAGCCAAAATGGAAATTGGAGCTAAGTAGAGCCACATTAGAAAGATGAACCCGCAGCCTGATGCCGGATTAACCAAAAAGAAAGTGAAGTGAGTTCTACTTCATGGGGGCACTTCATGTTTTCTCCCCCTTCTCAGTATAAACGCGTAATGAATGCAGTGGACTCACCCAAGTCTGTATGACAATGGGATTCAAACTCGGATGGTCTAGAATATTCCAGACTTCTTCTTTGCACTTCAGGTGGACATTCACATCATGACCCAGCCCCCCTCAGGAGAATGGGTTTACTTTGATACAGAGGTCACCAACAGCAGTGGCCGGGTTTCCTACATGATTCCTGAGCAGAGGCGGCTGGGGATCGGAGTGTATCCTGTCAAAATGGTGGTGAGGTATGTTCTTGTGCAGGAACGTTTGCTGTGGAGTGGGGTACAACAGTGGAGCGGTAGGAACAATGGGCACGGCCTGAAAATCACAGATGTGACAACTGAAGCCACCTGACTGTGGATTAGCTAATGGCATCTTCCGCCTTAATCCAAGGTTGGGAGCGATTGGCCATCTTCTTTCCCCCTTTGAAGGCAGGTGCATATGACAGCTTAAATAAGGACAGGAAATAATCTATTCTGCAACGGTTGTAAGCGTGAAGCAATGGTCCTAAGTCACTTTTTTCAGTGCCATCGTAACTTCGAACGGTCGCCAAATGAACCGTTGTAAGTTGAAAACTGCCCGTATAATGAAGTCAAGATTCCCTCTCTGTTTCTTTCTCCTTAGGGGTGATCACACATATGCCGATAGCTACATAACCGTTTTACCCCGGGCGACCGAATTCGTGGTCTTCAGCATCGATGGTTCCTTCGCAGCCAGCGTCTCCATCATGGGCAGCGACCCCAAAGTCAGGGCTGGAGCAGTTGACGTCGTACGGTACGGAGGGCTCAGCGGCGGGCAGAGTTGGTGCCAGGAAATTGTACTGAAGAATGGGGTTTTATGCTGTTGCTTTCGTGTCAGAAGCTCCAAGGCACTTCCAGGTTGAACGGATTAGCCAGTGACATCATCGTTTCCCCAGGGGATGCCCAGTTGGGGTCTCCTTTCATATCCCTATAGTGAGCCCACCGAAGTGGTACCTATTTAACTACTTCTGTTTGCATGCTTTCAAACGGCTAGGTGGGCAGGAGCTGGAGCGAATGACAGGAGCTCACCCCATCACACAGCAGCAGGCGGCTCTCGAACGCTTCCTGGTTTTCAACTCATTGTTCTAAACACATGAGCCGCCGTGCTCCTTATGAAATACTATGAGTAGGAACACTTTCTTCCAGTTGAAAACGAGAGGCCCTTTTCTGTCTTTATGTTCTCGCTGTCTCTCTCCGCTCATCTGTCTTCCTCATTTTCCCCTCTTTAGGCACTGGCAAGAGCTCGGCTACCTCATTGTCTACGTCACAGGCCGGCCCGACATGCAGAAGCAGAGAGTGGTGGCCTGGTTAGCACAACACAACTTCCCCCACGGGATTGTCTCCTTCTGCGACGGACTGGTTCACGATCCCTTGCGGCACAAAGCCAACTTCCTGAAGTCTCTAGTCACGGATGTAAGCCGAATTCGCAACAGGTTAAAGCAGTTGCCGTCAGCTGGGCTGAGTCCTGTGAAACACGCCTTTGAGAATCCAAGACCATCTAAAATGACCAGTGCTTGGCATGGAAGCCCCTGATTAGCCTGGTCTGTGGGCAGTCATTTAGTGATGGCTTTGGTATAGACCTGTGTTTAGGGCTGTTCTGGTTGGGAGCTCAGCCATCGGCAGGAAAAGCGCAACAAGAAAGAGGTTGTGTTCCTGCTGATCCATGCCTGGTCCTCTCTGCAGGAACTTAATTAGCTATTGATTTGCATTGGAGGTGGGGAGGTGGGTGAGTTCTCCAGCCATCATGTTTCAGCTCTGTAAGATGCTGAGAATGTGAGAGGGAGGAGGCCACCACATTTTTCTATTTTCACTTCTTATACATCTAAACCACCTAACAATGAATGTTCCCAGCACGGGCAGACATTCCTTAGCTAGCCATAGCACCTAGACTTACATACCGCTTCATGGTACATACACACCCTCTCTGAGCAGTTTATAGAGTCAGCCTATTGCCCCCAAACATTCTGGCTCCTCATTTTACCCACCTCGGAAGGATGGAAGGCTGAGTCAACCTTGAGCCAGTCCGGATCGAACTGCTAGCTGTCAGCAGAGTTAGCCTGCAATACTGCGTTCTAACCACTGTGACACCATGGCTCCTGACTCAACCATATACCCCCCCCCCCCCCGGCTCTTGGGCTGATTGACTTTTTCTTCTTATTCTAGCTGGACATGAAGATCCATGCGGCCTATGGATCCACCAAGGATGTCTCCGTCTATACTTCCATCAACTTGTCCCCTCCACAGATCTTCATTGTCGGGCGGTCTACCAAAAAGTTGCAGAACCAATGCCAAGTAAGATCCTTTTACTGTCATGGGTCCAGCCTGCTGTCCACTGTCCATAAATCTCAGGGAAGCAGCTTGTAGAAGAAAGGGGTTCTTTGATCCTAAGCTAAGGGCAGATCCTCTCGCACAGTAAGCAGTTTTTGATGTCTTTTGTCCCGTAGTTCATCACGGAAGGCTACGCGTCCCATCTGGCCCAGCTGGAGTACACCCATCGCTCCCGGCCTGCCAAGAACACTACTCGAATGGCTCTCCGGAAGGGCAGCTTCGGACTTCCGGGCCAAACTGAATTCCTGCGCAAGAGGAACCATCTCTTGCGGACCATCTCCTCCCAGCCCACCACATCAGCTGGCCAGAGTGCCAGTCACCGTCCAGAACGGACGCAAAGCCAGTCCGAAAGCGAGCGGGAAAGGGACCGAGAACGCAGCCAACGGAGCATGAGTCTTGCCACAGGCTGCTGGGGCCGAAGCCCGCTCCCGAGGCTCGAACCGGGGAACTTGGGTCAGAAGTAGAAAGGCGTCCGAGGCGCGATGATGGCCAGCTGCACTTGCCCAGGTGGCGGAAGCAGGGGCCACGACAAGGCCAGCAGCATGGAGCTCGTGGGCAAATATGGTGCTACTCATTGCCGGTGGGGCGGCAGTGACCTGGCCAGGAGCAACCGAGCGATTTGGGTTTCCTTTCCCCCACAAAACATGCAGGCCTGGACAGTGGCAAGGAGTTGGATACGTGGAGCGCAACCGGGCGGGCCGAGACCAGGAGCCATCTTCTGCCACCGAGACTTCAAGCGGCCTCATCTTCGAGATCCACTGTTTTCCTGCTCTTATCCAGGGTTAGAGACTGTAAATATGTGCCTGTTCAGCTTCTTCTTAGCCATCCGTCAAAGATGAGAACACACTGGTACATTGGGACCAGCAGCAGAAGAAGACCAGGTTGTGGGTAGGAGGACCGTGCGTTCACATAGGCCGGTCCTGGGACCTGGACACGAGGAAGGGAACACCGCTGACTCTCACTTCTTTACAACCGCAACGCCAGTTGATTAATTTCTGGAATCTGGAAGGACTCGGGACCCACAAGCAGAAGCCAAAGCTCCAGGCCGAGTCAGATTGACAGCTTCCACTCGGCGGACGGTGACCCCGGGTGTCATGCGCACACAACTGGATTGGTGGTTTATCGAGGCTGGTTCTAATTAAAGGATTTTTTTTTTTAAAAAAATAAGAGTTTGGAAGCTGAAGGATTGCACTAATTCAGGAAAAAAAAAAGTATTAGCAGGCACAAGGTTCTGCCCCTTCAGACAGGAAGGAGCACAATTTGGGCATGATCTCCAGCCAGTACCTGCAGTACGATTCGAAGCACCTGGCAAGTGCAATATTTGCTCAGCCTAAAACCGAAAATAAAAAGAAGCTACGTCCAAATTCTTCCCAGCCCTTGTCAGATTGTTGTTGTTATTATTTATTCATTCCCCCTGCCCTTAGACTGGAGTCCTTCCTCGTTTTTCCAACGTTATAGTACCGGCTTTCGGCGGAGGTTGTAAACTCGTTTTCTTTTTTTAAACCGTGGGTCTATTGCAACTGTACACCTCATCATTGTTTAGGTTTTGCACTGAGAAACTTTTAGGAAGAAGGTCTGTTTGTTTGTTTGTTTTTTTCCTCAAGCGACTCCTTCCGGATTTATAGCGCATGACATTAAATGTTGTTAAGCCACGGCACAACGGTCTGCTCCTACAGACACGCAACACGGCAGGCGGAACGCAGGGAGAGATTTCTCACCCATTTCACCCTTTCAATAGTTCAGGGGATTTTTTAAAAAAGTTCATTAGCCATGTCAACCACCTTGTCGTTGTCAACTCGACAAGGGAAATTAGCAGAGGGAAAAGGTGTGTCTCCTGCCTGATGCTGAAAAAGAGCCGAAGTGGATTTTAATACAGGCAGTCCTCGACTTAGAACGTTCATTTAGTGACCATTTGAAGCTACAACATCACAGAAAATAGGGGGACGTATGACTGCTTTTCACACTTACGACCGTTGCAGCCTCCCCGTGGTCATGGGATCAAAATCTGGCCACTTGGCAACCGGTTCATATTTATGACGGACGGAGCGTCCCCGGGGGTCACATGGTCCCCTTTGGCGACCTTCTGACGAGCAGTGTCAATGGGGGAAGCCGTGATTCCCTTAACAACCGTGTTACCAGCTTCACTTAACAACTATGCCAAGAAAGGTCACAAAAGGGGGCAAAACTCACTTAACAAATGTCTCGCTTAGCCACGGAAATTTGGGACTCAATTGTGGTCGAAAGTCAAGGACTACCTGTATTTCCTCTGGCTTTTCTACTCATTTACCTGGCTTTAAAGATGTTTTAAAGCTTTTGGCATCGGGGGGGGGGGGGAAGACGGGGGCATTTGTCTCTGAGGAAGGGCCAGGCTGTTCACCCTCTTTTGGTCTCCACTCTTTGCAATTCAGATTTTCTAGCTGCTGCCAAGGGGTCTTTCAGCCCATCCTAAAGCCTGATCCTCCCTCTTCACTGGGAGATCAGCCTTGTCTTACTGGCCTGCAATGCTGCTAGTTTTTTATATTTACTCAAATTTTATCTCCTCTTTCGCCTCCGGTCGCTTGTATCACTCTCTCTCTTGCAGGCGCGTCTTTGTCCAACTTTGCTTCCTTTCCCCTAGACTGATGGGCATCCAAACGTCTCAGACTTCTGCACTGTGAAACTGGCCTTTTTCCAACCTTCGGTGGTTTGCCTGGATATTTTTTAAAAATGAACCAATATTCACCCAACACTCTTTTTTATATACCCCCCTTTAAAAATTATGTGCACTTCTCCGGCGTCCTGTTTCTCTCCCCTTGAAAAATGCCGGAGTAAAATTCACTGTATGGAGTAAAATTCTCAGTGGTTTAGGAAGCCATATTGCATGATCCTAAGCCAACTGCGAAGGGGACGGGCAGGTTTTTATTACTTTAGGGAATTTTTTTCCCCCTCTGATTGAGCCTAGTTCTTAGGGATGGATGTTGAAAAACAGGAGTGGAAGAGGTGTCCCAATGGATTGCGTTTCTGCTGTCTCGTCTGATCATTGCGTCTCCGTCTGTCGTGCAAAAGGACGCCACAAAAATTGCCAAGAGAATCAAGAGTTTGGGACTTCATCCCTTCCTTCTCTGCTCTACACAAATCCTTGAGCCAAGACACAACCCGACGCGTACACTGGCAAACTCTAAAGGGGGAAATAAAAACGTCTCGTGTCTTTGTGTGCATTTGCAAAATGTGTAAAGAGAAAGTCAGTGTCAGTGTTTTTTTGCAAGCTTGGCAATTTAAATGTGGGTGGACCTCAACATGCTGACTAGGGAATTCTGGGAGTTGAGGTCTGCCCAGGTTGGCTGGGAAATTCTGGGCGTTGGAAGTCCACAGGTCTTAAAAGTGGCCAAGGTTGGACACCCCTGATCTCAAAGGAGGGTATAATTCAGTTTTATTTTGCTCTTAGCCCATCTGCCTGGAGCCAACCTGATCAGAGACCTGGCAATTCCCACACGTCACCCCCTTAAGCCCCACGATAGCAGAAAGGTGGATTGTAAAGGTAGAAGGCAAATGGGAATGTCTTGACGGAAAGAAAGCCTACTTCTTTTCAATCGGGGCAGAGTTTCAAACAGGAAAAAAGTTTGAAGAATCGCGTCCTACAGTGCAGTGAAGCTGAGGGACTTCAGTTAGGTTTCTGCCAGATTGAGCTGAAGTTGCGTTCCTGTTAGTCCTCTTTTTCTACCTGTTCTAATGTCATTTTAAACCTGTCCAGTTGGCACCAGAAAAGGAGAAATCTAACTGTTAAGGATACAACTGGGATGGGGATAAAATGATCCCCGGTGGAAATACACAACTGGGATGTTTGAGGGTCTAGCTTAGCCTGTTCCATCTTTTTTTGTTTGTTCGTTTTGCTCCTGCCTTTCTTTGTGCATGATACTGTCGGGCGCTTTGCTGTTGTCGTGTGTGACTACCATCTTCTCCCCTGCCACCTGACTGTGCTTTGTATCCAGTTATCAGTTGTATGTGAACCTCTTAATTAAAAGAACTGGGAAGGTTTTGCTCACCGTGTTTGTTTCTTTGCAAGGCGTGCCGGAAACCGGATCGGAAACGCCCCCGGGCCAGTTTTAACCAGTGTCCATTTCCCTTGATGGGCATCGTTGGGTTCAACTTTCCCTGGCACTCCCTAGATTTTTTTTTGCAAATATAGTCTCCCTTTCCTTAATCAGGGTGGGTTTCAAACAAGGGAAGTCTCTTTGTTTTAAGCACCCGCTGTGCCTCAAAGCTCAAATGAACTCACTGCAGTATCTTGGAAACTTGATAAGGATGCAGAGATAAAAGGATCGTGTTTTGCAGTTTCTGCTAAACCACGGAGGCAAAACAGGAAAGCAGGAGAACAAATTGGTTTTAGTTATTTTATTATTCATGGGTAGAATAATTTTATTGGTGATAGTGCAGGCCTTTCTTCATTTAGGAAACCATCCCTTCTTCCAGTGGATCACCAGGTGGCGATCCATCCTTATCCAGGATTTAAACTGGCCTAAAAATGTGGAAAACACACCCAGTTCCGAGCAGCTCTCCTTCTCTAACTGAACGGACGAGGCCATGAAACCACCAAGATCATTTAGAAGGTTGTTTTAATTAGTTAAATTAGCTACATCAGCATCCTGTATAAGCATTTCCAGTTGGACAGATGACACAACATTCATCGCTTCAACAATTTCAATTTTTCCTTCAGCTTGGTGCTTGCAGTTTTGAAAAGAAACAACACATGCAAAGAATACAATCCAGCCCATTTTTTTTTTTAAAGAACACTTTCATTTGGCAGGTTTCACAGGAAGAATATTAAATTTGCCTTTAGCTCTGGGAATCGGCACGATTTCAGGGCCTTTAGCTCTGCAGGACTGGGTGCTCTGCAGAATTTTAAACACACACTTTACAATATTTTCCTCTCCCACGCTTCTGTTTGATTTTCTTTTGGGGTGAATTCAGCCTAGGTGGCGTGTTCCAAGCACGGATTAATGATTAACTGGTTGTGATGGGAATGGGGTTTACATAAGCTAGCTCAGCAGCTGCTTGCTTGCCAAAGGATGCTAAGAATTGGCCAGCGTGTGGTTCCCACTGGCCTTGTGGGTCAGGGCAACCCAGTCGGTGCTTGTAGGGCAATCAGCCCAGGGCAGGATTAGAAACAGGAGGAATCGGAAAGAGTGAGAGAACTCTCTTGCCCCTAAGGAAGGCTATGTGCACATTGCACAAAGCGACTGTCGGAGAATGAATGATTGACAAGGCTTTGAATGCTCTCCAACCCAAGGAGGAGGAGAATGGAAGGAAGAAGAGAAGGAAAAGGAGGGTGGAAGAAGGAGAAGAAGATTGAAAGGAAGAAAAGCAAGAGAAAGATAAGAATAGAAGGAGAGGATGGAAGGAAAAGGAGAATGAAAGGAAGAGAAGGAGAAGAAAGATGAAGAGAAGGAGAAAGAGAAGAATAGAAGAAAAGGGTGGAAGGAAAAGGAGGAGGAGGAGCATAGGAAGAGGAGAAAGACGGAAGGAGGAGGAGAGAAATTAAATTAAACCAGTAGCAACCAATGCAGAATTAAGCTAGCAGCCCAGGCAGAGGGTAGATTTTGCCAGACCGTCTGTTATGAGCTTAGGAAGCTACGATGCCCTTCTTTGCCTTCATCACTAGCAGGAGGTGAAGTCAAATCACACATCGGGGCTGAGCAACTGGCAACCTTCCAAGACATTCTCTGACGTCCAAACCAACTGGGGAAGACCAGCCTTCTCCCGGCCCTGCCCACAGCAGGAATCCAGAATCGGCTCTCTGGAAGCCCCCAAACTGGCCTTTACCCTCCCCAATTGGCTGGGAAGCCAGGGCACCCTTAAGAAAAGAAAGCCGAGCCCCTTCTGCCTGGAAAGAGAGGAGCTGAGGCAGCTGGAGAAACGGGCCAGGAGGCCTCATTCCAGACTCCCCTGGAGCTCTTGTGCTGCCTCCTTGATCAAGGGGGTGGGTGGGTGGGTGGGCAGCGTGCCAGGCAGACCTGAAGGAGAGCTGCAGCAGGCCTGCGCTCTGCCCTCCTCTGGCCGGATCAGGGAGGCGATGAGTCATTCTCCCTCCTGGTAATGAGCTGGTGCAGCGCCCCAGTCTCTGGACTGCATTGCTGGCAAGGCTGATATTTTCCTTAGCGTGACGGGAAGTCGTTCTTTTGCTCGGGTTTTCCCTGCCAGGTCACCAGATAACCGACGAGGAGATCGGCAGCCTCTTTAGCTGCAAGGAATCACTCAGGAGGGGGACCTTTGGCACAGGGGGGGGAAGCAGTCAGGGACACCCCCCTCCCCCCCAAACCATTGCCAGCAGCCCTGTATTCACCCGTCTTTGCTCCTGTTTCCAACTCTCCCTTTCCCCCCCCCAAGAAGAACGTGAAACTACACTCCCTAACCTCAAGAGGATGGGAAGCCGAGAAGAGCAGCTGAAGTGACTCCTGGGAAAATCAAGGGGCCCCTGGAGCAGAAGGGGAGGGGGAGAGCCCCCCAAGGCTGGTGCACTGCGGCCTTAGAAGAGATCCTGCCCTCTGGCACCCGGGCGTGCCTCGTTTGGGGCGAAAGCTTTGCAAACAGCCAAGGAGGCCATCTCTGCCGTTTCAGAAATCCGTCCCGCTACTGCAGCATCCCCATCTTCATCTGAAATGAAAAGCCGTCTCCCCGGGTGGATTGCTGCAAAAGGAGATAAGGATACAGGTTAGAAAGGGGGGGGACTTGCCTTAGAAAAAGGCAAAGTCTTCTTTAGCTGCCCCCCCCCCCACGTCCCAATCTGCCAGGATCCCCGGAGACAGAAAAATCCAGAAGGTGGATTGGTTGCCCTGAAGCTATTAGGTTTCCAGGGCTGATGAAAATCAAGGGGGAATTGGATTGACGTCTGTCTGTCCGCAATGTCTCACCCCACGCGTTAGGAAGTTCTGATCTTGCTAAGGGGAGACTGATGCTCGGGGTGTCAAAGGGGCTTTTTCAAAAGGCAACTGGATTTTCTTTGCTTTTCGTTTTACTTCTCATCCAAGAAGCTTCTTCAGTTCATCTTCCTTCCATCAGAACCAAATAAGCTTTTGGATTGAGAAGTGAAATGTCTTCAAGGAAAAATGAAGTCCAGTTGTCTTTTGGAAAAAGAACTTTTGGGACAACCGTGACCTGGATGGCTGGGAATCTCCATAGACATGATGCTCGGGGTGCTTTAAAGGGCAGATGTGGAGACAGAAACCAAGTGCCTTGTCAACAATATGGGCCGTGAAATGCGAACCTCTGAAGAAAAGCACAGCCCGCTTTTAGTTGTGAAGTCAATGACCCTCATCCTGTCCAAGCAGGCCAGCTGCATCCAAGCTTGTTGTGATCACAGAAAGTCACTAACCTTGTTTATTTCTTTATGCCTTTCTTTCGTCACAATCTCCTCCAGGACCTCTCCGTCGCCTTTAATAAGCCTGCAAGAGAAACACCACTGACTTCCTCAAGCAACAGATGTTATCCATAAAAATGTGGAAAGCAGCTGACCCTTAACAAGAGGTCAAGTTAACTATTGCCACGAGGGTTTATTCGCGTAGCAACCGTGGCAAAAAAAAGTCGCAAAATCAAGAAGAACTTTGTGAACAACTGCCTCTTTTAGCAGCAGAAATTCTGGTGTCAATGGTGGTCATAAGCCAAGGACTCGCCTATACGGCCTTCTACTGTGCTTGAAAGCTTTCAGGAAAGCCGGAAGAAATCGATTCGAATTTAGCAAACACGTGTTTGCAAAGGGGGATGAAGGCAACACCCGCCCGTCAGCAAATATTTGAGGATCCAGATGCTGTGTTTGTAATACTGAAGACTTTTCTGGGTACTAATAATGGAGATGCCAACTTCACAGATTTGTATCTTTGAGAGATGGCTTGTGCCCAGATCCACCTCTGATTTTAGGGCAAAAGAGATCTCGGTGCCCTGGCAGCAAAATCAAACCAGCAGCAGGCAAGCTCTTGCAGAGACAGCAAACAAGACAAAACGAGGGGGGAAAACACACCCCGATGTTCAAAAATTAAAATAAATGATATTCCATGCAAACTGCTTTCCGTTGAAGTTGTCCTACCTCATCCGGCCCGTTTCAGGGTCGAGGACCTTCCGTATAACGCTCTGGCGGGCGTCCCACTCCTCTTTTGTCATTGGCTTCATGGCCTGGATGCGGAACTTCTGTTCGTCCGTCAGGGCTGGAAGAGAAACCTACGTCAGAAAATGGGGGAGGCCACCAAACTCTTCAACAGTTCCCGTAATCGGCTGTAGGAGAGGCTCTGCCTTTTACCCCACAGAGAGAAAGGACCCAGGATTTTTTGGCCCTCACGGGAAAAACAACAAACCTCTATTCATCACGGACAAGCATTGAGAGAAAGAAGGACGTGAGGAGAAAGCAACTGACCAGTGAAGGATCCTTAATTTTGAGACAGTGCCTGGCCAGCCTCGAGAAGGAACCGACCCTCGGCGTGAGAACAAAAAGCAGCCAATCATGTTTGACTAGGAGAGCCAGGTTGGCGCAGTGGGGAAGGCGCCAGCTACCCCTAAGAGGATTCTGAGTTTCAAAATTGGGGCACTTGGCAACTGCGTGGATTTACGACGGTTGCCACGTCCTGGGTTCATATGATCCCCATTTGCGACCTTCCCAGCTGGCTTAGCTAGATTCTCTTAAGGACTGTGGCAGCAAGGTCATAAAATTGGATAACAACCGCCATGCTTAGACGTGGAAATTCTGATTCCAACTGTGGTCCTAAGTCAAGGAGAACTGTTTTATGTTATTGTAGCCTCTCAATTGCTCCTCCAATCTGCTCTTGGGAGAGTTTTTTCCCCCCAGGCTTGCTTGAGCTGAGTTTCCGTGCTATAAAGGCCAGACTTACCAGGCCCAGAATCCGATCCAGCCTCCTTCTGCCACTGCTCCAGTGAAGGGCCTGGAGCCTCCTCCTTCTTAGTTGCCTCCTCTTTTCCCCTCTCCTTCTTGGCTTTCTTCTTCTTCTTTTTCTCTTTTCGTTTCTTCCGCTTCTTGTCTTTCCCTTTGGAAGCCTTCTTCTTCCTCTGCTTTTTCTTTTCGGATTTGGCCTTTTCGTTGTGGGACTCGTCCGAGGAGGCACTGGAAGAGGAGGCCGACCCAGAAGAGGAGGAGGAGGAAGAGGTGGTCTCAGAGGAGGAGGAGGAGCTGGCCTTCTTTTTCCTTTTCTTCTTCACTTTCTGCTTCTTTCTCACTAGGAGCCAGAATGGAACAGAAGATAAGCAGGCGCTCTGGAGGACAATCATCCCCAACCTGGCTGGGAATTCAAGAGATGTGGTCCCACCGCCTTCATTTATTATCATTTCACAGGAGAACTGCACATGATCATCACCAAGGGGGAGAGGAATTGATCCTCTTTGCTGGTCCCACCCAGACCCAACCTGTCATGGAGACTATGTCCGAATGGGGTGAGCTGGGAAACTAACTATTTAAAATAGTTTGGGCTCTTCTGCAACCCTAAAAAATGAGGTAATCGGTATCAACCTGCTTTTTAAAACCGTGTTTCTCAACCTTTAAGATGGGTGGACTTCAATTCCCAGAATTCCCCCCTTTTAAGGCTGCCTTAAATGCGTGCCTGCAAACAGCGAGAACTGACATTCAGCCTCTTGCATCCACCCCCACTCTACCCGAGAGACCAAGCTTCCTGTTTAAAATGTTAACATCTTCAAGTTACTAGTCCTGGTGGAACTCCCGGGAAGTTTTAAAGTAGGGAAAAGCGGGTTTGGCTTACCAAGCCAAAGCCAAGGAAGGCAACCCCCCCCCCTCTGAATTGGCAAGGAAACAAGATGGAAGGTTGAGGAGAGGTCCCCATCCTTCCATCTTTCAACGACGTTCATTTGGAAGCCACAACTACGCATTTGTTAACCCACAGATTTGCAGCCATACAAACAGGACTGCAATTTGGGGGAAAAGCTGGGGTGTTTTTTTTCCTCACCATCTTTGGAAGAGGATAAACTCATCCTGAATTCCTGGGGTTCCGATTCTTTTTTGCTTGCTGGGGACCAACTCCTCCTCTCTCGGGAACCTTTGCTGTTCTTCCTCCTTTTCTTATCTTCCTCCTTGTCTCGCTGCCGGCTCCGGGAATCGCTTCGACTCCTCCTGCGTTTTTTAGCTTGGCTGTGAGCCATCTTGCTCTTCGTCCTGTTTCAGACAGATGAAATGGTTTTTTGTTTTTTTTTAACATCCACAGTAGAATACCCTTCATCATTGCAACCCTCTAGAAATGCCTTATTTGTAAAAAATACAATATATAAAATAAAGTATGAAATAAAATATGAAACATGTTAAAAATAATATAAAATATAACAAAGACCTACTCCTGTTATTCATCTCCAACTAAAACTTGCCTCTATCATCTGAATTGATGCAGAAACAACAGAATCGATGTAATTTTTATTCCTTTTAGGTTTTATTCCTTTGGAATAGTGAAATTGCTCCCTAATGGTCTTCCAGCTATCTGTACGCAAAATATTTATAGTGTTATTAATAATCTTCCTTTTCTACTTAATAAGGGGCGGGTCTTTCTGAGTCTGGAGTACTGGCCTTTTAAGAAAAGCCTCGCTTTCCTAGCTGTCGTTTAGCCGCCTTTGGCCAATCCGCGGGCATCCCTGCCTTTATAATCCCGCCTCCGCCAAGTCTCCAGAGCGGCCGCTTGGAGCGCATGCGCGCTAAGGACGAACCTGCTCCGCTTTTATGGATCCGAATTCGCCCCGTTGTCTTTGACTTACCGAGTCAGGTAAGCGCCCCGCCTGTGGGGTGGAGGAGGCCCGGCACGGCGTGAGGCGCAGAGCCCTCGTTAAGGCGGCTTCTCTGCACCATCCGCGGATTCGGAAAGCGAACGCAGCCGCCCCCCCCTCGCCCCAACGGCGGCCGTTCTCTAAACTGTAGCGGCCACTTCCGGTTGGTCTGTTGGTACATAAGTCCGGCGAGGAAATCGGAAGCTGCGCACTTTGGTTCCCACCTCGGTTAATGCACGTGAGCCGAAGGTTGGAAGAGTTTCCTTCCAGTTAAGAGATTTCGTTGATGAAACGTGTTTTCTTGATTTCTATGCCGCCCATCTCCCCTACTCTTCGCTCACGATTTTTTTATTTAAAACAAGGTGTTTTTTTTTTTATTTGTTCCCTTCCAAGATTCCTGAAGCTGTTGGCTTTATTACCGGAAGTTATAAATAGAAAATTTTGCATTCCAGTTGGAAGCTGTTATAACTGAGAAGGAAAGGTAGTTATTTAAAAAATAAAGCATTCAAAATAGTATTTTTTTAAGCTCCTGATTTTAAAAAGGTACTTAGCTGTTATGCTGGAGAGATACCAACTAAATAGGATTGATGGGGGGGGTGAATTTGAAGATGAAGAGACTCTAATAGAGGTTGGCATATAAAAGCAGGGAGCACTTCACCCACCCTCACACTGATGATGTTGCCTAATTGGGCAATGAAACGTCTGCAAGAAAACAATCTCAGAGCACCAAGGACCCCACAGTCCTCCTCCTCCTCCTCCCACATTGCCTTCTACCACTGATGATGTTGCTTAGTTGGGCAATGAAACGTCTGCAAGGAAATAACCAAGCACTCAGGACTGCACAAAGAAGAGACTATTGATGTCTTAAAGTCAGATTTTGAAAATTTATTAAAATCCAGACATAGAGTTCTCCTCTTCCTCTGTGGTCTTTTTATGTTAAAGAGCACACGTCTGTGGTCCCAGGTGGGCTGCCCTCCAGAATCGTAGTGAACCCATCCCCAAATCCCTCTGCTTCAATGAGGTCAGGCTCTCTGTTGCACATGGGACAAAGTCGGTTGCGGACAGCCGAAGATCGCATCCAGATAATCAGGTTCCTGCGTTCGCCAGAGGCAATGGGCAGCGCCCCGTGGAGCTGCCCTCCGCGATGGAACAATCCATAGAACAGCACATGTTCAACCTCCAGGTAATTTGGCACAGGCTTGGCATCCTTGAAAAGAGTGGACAGATCAGGTTACGAGCTGCTTCAGCAGTTGAGTTCTTCAAATCAAGGCAGCTTTCAGAAAATATTCATTCATGCTGTATCTACATATGCAATTCACTACTACAAGCTGTGGAAGTTAGTGGTTAAGGCACCCAGCTAAAACCAGGAGATGGGGAGTTCTAGTCAGGCATGAAAGCTGGCTGGATGACTTTGGGCCAATCACTAGGAGACAGTGAGTTCTAGTGCTGCCTTAGGCATGAAGGCTGGCTGGGTGACTTTGGGGCAGTCGCACTCTCAACCCTACCCACCTCACAGGGTTGTTGTGGGGGAAGTAGGAGAAGGAAGGAGCATTAACTACCCATCATATGGTAGTTAATTGCCCATAATGATGTAAAAGATTACAATCAACTGTATGAAGTTTTAAAAGCGGCACCTGTCTAAATTCTGCAAAGTAAAGGCTGCCTTCGGTGAACTCTTTCCCCAGGCAGACGTTGAGGGTCACTTCTGCGTTGTCGTAATGAATGTGCAAGTCCAAATCTTCACGCAGTGCGTATTTCACAACAAAAGCTTTGTGGCTGTCCAAGCAGCTCCCTCCACAGTCCGGGTAAAGCAGCGCTGTCAGCGGTTGCAAATATTTCTCTCGCAGAGGTGTAAGAAATGTTTCGTCCAGTCCAAGTTCATTCAAAAGCACCTGCCATAAATGTGAACGAGAAAGGGCGTCAGAAAATAAAAGGGAAAAAAAGATGATGAATATTCTAACAGAAGATTCGGGTCAATTTCTTTCAAGGGTTTTGGTTTTTCTATTATGCCAAATATTATCAATGTAGCATTGATAACTGTTTTGTATTTAAGCAGGGCCAGGATAGAATACAAATAACCCTGTTTTCTCTAATGTGAGAAAATGCATTTAACAAAACGAATTCCCACATCATTCCACATTTTTGCCATCTACAGGATGTGAAACTCACCCCATAGTTATTCATAGAATTGGGTCTTCCCTTAGGCAACTCGGACTGTTCAAAATGTTCTAGTTCCTCAACAAAAGCTTCGCAGAATTCCTTGGTGAATATTGGTAACCTGTAGATTCTCTTATCTGAAGTAGAGAAGAAAATCACCAGGGAAGACAGAAATTCACTTTTTACTGCCTATTATGAGTAAGTATATTTTCCAGGTGATAAAATAAGTTAGTCTATTTTTTTTATTTATAGTAAAGCTTAGACGTTTGTGGGCAGAAGGCCATAATTCAGGAGTTTTAATTTATTTGCATATAAAATAATGAATTTCCCCAGTTGAATGGAACTTCCATCAGCAAGGGTGAGAAAGATTCATCTGTGCATGAGAATCGGAACCTTGCCTCTGGGCCACAGGCCCAAACAGTAAGCTCAGCCCGCCAGAGGCATAGCCTGTTTGCAGGCTACTGATAAATGAACGTCGATTTTTACCTGATAAAGATTCCACACGGCGCAGGAGACCTTGGAGATCAGCATTTTGGGATTTGCAGTATTTGACGGTTTCTAAAAATTCCGGATTAAAAAATGATTCCTAGCATAGCAGAAAGGGATAAGGAGAGAACAAGAAAAAGAGAATTGAACAGAATAACTTCTGATTAACTTGCATTTAACTTTTATCAGACTTTGGGGGCTGCTGCCAGTGCTCTTAACTCTAGGGACTCGGAGCAGGTTCCAAGGCTGCATGCTTCTCCCTAGCCAGGTAAATTATCCCTCTATCTCATTTAGATTATGCAGTTTCCTCTTTTGTCAGAAACGGCTGTGAAGTCTCAAGTTAGTCTCACTTTTTTTTATAATTTGCTTAATAGAAAAAATCTCCCCCTCCCCTTTCCTCCTGGTCCTCTGAGCATAAACTGATGTGCAAACGCAACAAAGCACATCCTTTACCTGTAAAATATATAGCTGTGGGTGCTTTGGTCTGTAATTCTGAGAGATGATTGCTTTTCTTTCTCTGGATTGATGATCCAATTCCTTTCTCCTCTGCACTTCTTTTTCAACCTGCAGCAATTCAATCTGTGTTTATAAACTGTTAATTAAGATACTTAAACAGATGCAAGGGAGGTTTCTCTCTTGGTTTTCTTGTTTACAGAAAAAGCCAGGGGTCTCATAAAATTCAAAAACTGCTGGACCAGAAACCGGGTATCTAGTACACATAATTTTAGTACACATAAATCTGTGGGTGATGGGTGACTTTTGATCAGAGTCTTTCGCACCGCCCAACCCCCCTCACAGGAACATTCTGGGGAAAATAAGAGGCAAGGAAGCGTTTTGTACACTGCCTTGAACTGTACAAAAAAGGGCAGGCTACCATTCTAGAATCATAACCATCGTACAGTTGTGTGCCATTGTGCCCCCAGTAAAAGATGACAAAGGTTATCTATTTTTCAAGCTAATATAGCGCAATAATACTATGGAATAATTCACAATTGTATGATTCCTCAAAATAATGTAATAAGACTGAAATTCCACAATGGTGTGATTCTTCCAGCTGATATATATGTGTGTGTCTATAGATACACACTTAAGCTGGTGTGATTCTACCAGCTAATACAGAGCAGTAATAACTCAAATTTGGGTGTCAATTGTGGTTGTAAGTCGAGTAGTGTGTGTGTGTGTTTTTCTCTAATCAGGCTACTGAGATTCTTCAGCAGAAAAAGGGCAGAATCAATGCAACAAAAACCCGGAGGGGCGACGGGTCTTCCTGCCCAGCCTCGCCCGACCAGACCTCTCGAAGGACGGCCGCGAAGTCCTCCTCGCTCCTACAGCCGCGCTGCCTCAAGACCTGCGAAGGAAAGAACGGGGCTCAGCAGGGCACGGACGATGGGGATTGTAGTCGAACCCTTCCCCCACCCTTCCCCACTGTGGGCGAGGGATCCGCCGCCGCCCCGGGGCTCACCGGCCCGTACTCCCTGCGCAGCTGCTCCGGGTCGCCCTGGTAGCGCAGGTGGAGGCCGTAGCGCTCCACGAAGAGATTATCGGTGAGGAAACAGGCGCAGGCCAGGAAGCGACCCCGGCCCGGGCTCCACGCGCCGCGCTCCATGTTGCCGCCCGGACCCGCCGGCGGACGGAACGGGGTTGCCCGGGCAACGGGTCCGTCGCTCAAAGCGTCCCGACCGCCAGCCCGCGCCAGGGAGCGTCTGCAAATTACCCAGCGGCGCCCAAAGCGGAGGAAGCCAGGTCGGAGCATCTCTCCCAGCTCTGGAGTCCCCAGAGGAGCGGAACGGCCCGGAGGAAAGAAGGGGAGCCCTTTTGGGCCGGGGCTAAGTCCGTTTCGTGACCCCAAGAGAGCAACCCAGCGGAGTTTTTGCAAGCCAGCCTGGGAAAATCTGCAGCTTTGTTGCTAGCAAGAAGGCAGTTGCCATTGCTTTTTTTTTTCTTCCTCCTGGCAGGGCTCCTTTACTTAAAAACAAGAAAGCTGGCTTTCTCAATAGGGTCTTTTGCATACTGATGTGGGGAGAAAGGACAACAGTTAAATGCACTGGTTGGGGGATTCTGGGAGTTGTAGTCCATCCGTCCAGCTGGGCAAGAGTCTGGCTGGAGGGACCGAAGATCGCTGGGCTGCTTCTGGGAAACTGTCTTTTTTGTCCAGGAATTGCAGGGGAATCCAACTCTACTTACCTTAAAGTTGCCAACTTTGGAGGTCTTCTAGTCCATCCCCCAGCTGAAGCAGGAGACCTTTTACCATTTCAGACAAATGGTTGTCCAATCTCTTCTTAAAAACCTCCAGTGTTGAAGCACCAACAGCTTCCGAAGGCAAACCGTTCCATTGATTAAGTGTTCTGTCAGCTCTATGAATTGGCACTTTTAATTAATACTCTGATTAATTGTTCTGTCGACTATGTCAAATGTCAACTCCCCCAACCCCCGTGCCCCAAAGTATGTACCAGATGTACCCGGAGCATCCCATCCTGATGCAAACAGCGGGAAAGAGCCCTCCCCGACAGCTTTGCAAAGCAAGGGGCACTTGTGCATCATCCCTTAAGCCAAAGCAAAACCAGCA